AGCAGTGACGGGAACAAAGCCAGGCAGTTTTCTCTCACACCGGAGCATTGGCATTGAGGTCGCAGTCGAGGCTCCTTGCAGTTACTGAGGGAGACTCCGCTGGAGGAACCTTCCTTCATCTGAAAATTTAAACTAAGGTCCCGTCTGCCTGTCTTATCTTGTGTTGTTCTGTCCAGTTGCCCTGCCCTGGCCTGACTCACTCCATGACTGTTTGTGAGACCCTACTGTACTCACCAAACCCACAGTCATGATACGTGAACACAATTATCCACTCAGGATTTGAGATGTTTTCAGTGTTCTAGGAACTGCGTGAGATACAAGGCTGATTTTTATTCCTCTTTGGAAACTTGTGAGACCAAATATGGCCAATTTATCTGGCAATTATGACATAAACATCAAATTTTATAATTCTGCATTCCAACCTTTTTTGGTTTTCCTGATTTGATGCCAGCATCCTCCAAGCCTAGACAGCCAATGTCCGCACAAATACCTAAGCTCTCTTGTGGCCCAACGGGAAGTTCAAAGCAGCTCCTTTTGGATCCATAAAACGACATTGAACTATTAATAACTTGCTGTAGCCTAGCAAATACCAAACACTAATCTGTTTTTCACAGAATCAAAAGCTTAAAACACAACAGATTGGCCCATCAACATCAGATAGGGAGTGAATCATCCTTGTGTCTTACTGTGAGATAAATGTTTCAGTGTCTGAGTAATCCTACCTCCGTGCTACCTTTAATTTAGCTCTTCCAGAGAGCAGGCCGGCATCGATGGGCCGAATGGCCTCTTTTGTGCAGTCAGTGTCTCTGGTTCTCCCACAGAGTGGAACTCCTGCTTTAACTGCCAGAAAACCTACCTCTTCCACAAAGCCTATGGTTTCCCTCTTCCCTTACTCGGCATCCAACCCTATCACTGTCCAGCTCTGCGAGACATTATTCTAATCTCTGTCTCAAATGTCTCCAAAGCCCTTCACAGTAGGAAGTGTGAAGGCATTTGATTTGTCCATAGCAACACCCTGCAGCTGATGTTGTTGTTGTTGTTTGATTCTGCCCTAATGTGTAAATATAGACTTTTGTTAACCATTCTATTCATCTTGATTCCATCCATCGTCTGCTAAGTGGAATGTGGGATACACATTGTAAATCGCCTACAATACAATATACTTTACAGCAAATCCTCTGAAGCATTTTGAGATGTTTTGACGACATGCACAATATTAAATGCAAGGATTATTATTATTATTAATGATGATTAATTATTAATAATAATTATTGAACTATAGTAACAATTATTAATAATAGCATTGTAAAGGCAATATCGATGAGGCTTTTTAAGAGCCTCACAAAATCCTTCAGCCTTGTATCAGTTCAAGCCTTGAAGAGTTGCATTGCTCTTTCATTTTGTGTTCACTCAAATTGAACCAGCTCTTTAAATCATTAGAGACCAGGGGTCTCGCTACCTGGTTGATTGTATGTGCGGTGCCTCTAACACTGACATCATGGAGAATAATGCTCAGTTCTTTGGGTTACGATTTCATCAAACACAGATGTTGGTTCCTCAGTTTGTAGATGAAAGGGTTGAGCTGCATTTCAATCATTCCTGACTCATTGAAAGCATGTCAGCCGTCTTCTTTCTGTCTGGTCTGTGCACCCTGTCTTCATTGCATCCACACGATCTGGATCAATGTCACGGGGACCGGAGAAATTAACCCTTTAACATTAACTAAAGCCATTGATCGGATCCTTCAAGTTCACAGCCCCATTTGTAATTGGTGATCATCGAGGGAGAGAGGGGGAGAGAGGGAGGGGGGGAAGAGAGAGGGAGGCGGGGAGAGAGAGGGAGAAAGGGAGAGAGGGAGGCAGAGGGGAGAGAGAGGGAAGGGGGGAGAGAGAGGGAAGGAGGGAGGCAGAGGGGAGAGAGAGGGAGGGGGTGAGAGAGAGTGGGGGGAGAGTGAGGGAGGGCGTGGAGAGTGAGGGGGGAGAGAGGGAGAGGGAGGGAGGGAAAGAGAGAGGGGGAGAATGGGAGGGAGAAAGATATGTCAAGGCCATGCGCTCCTCCCCAGCACACTAACTGCATCAACCCTGCAGCAAGGTGACTAAATTTGGGGTTACAGTGCTCCCCTCTTTCCACCCCCCACCACTGTCAAATAGCATACATTCTCCCCCAAAATACAGTCACTACACTTTCTAGTAAATCTTGAGAAGCCCTTTGAGACGCCCTCATGACGTGAAAGATGCCATATCAAGTGTAAGGATGTTTTTAACCAACAGCTCATCGCTGTGGGGTGGTGTGGCCTCACCAGCCCCTGGTAACCTGCATTGCTGTGAAGGCAGTCAGTGATTTGTATGTCTGTGTGTGTGGATGGGGGTGGGTGGGGTGTGTATGTCTGTTTATATGGTAGATGAGCCCTCCGTTCCCATACACCAATACTCCCTCTGTGAGCTGCCCAGAACCCAGGTATGAAACCCACCCGACTGTATGACTATATGTTGCACTCTGCCCCTTAATGTTAAGAGTCCAACTTCCAACTCTTCCAAAGAGCCGGTACGGGCAGGATGGGCCGAATGGCTGCCTTCTGTGCTGTAATATTCTATGATTCTATGAGCTTTGCTGTTTAAAAACACCAATCAACAAATGCATCTGTAGTTCAATGCAAGACTGGAAATATCACTGCTGTTGTATAAACCGGTCTATTGTAATAGCTTCCAAACACAGGGAACCTCACCAGTAATAACACCCCTCCCCTCTTTCCCTCCTTCTCTGGTAAGTTATGAAATGTGAGATGACTAACATCATGCTGTGATCAATTACATCAGCTAGTAACAATGTGCCACATTACAACATAGTCTGCATGCAACCCTTTCAGAGCAAGGCTGTCTCAATCCAGCCTCTTTATGGCACATCTTTCATGAAGCCATACACTAAGGGTTATCAATGCTTTAAGCTACACTTGTGTTCCGGAGGGAACATAAACCAACGTAAAACAAAGGTAAGGAAAAGCGTTTACTGTGGCTTGGAACAAACTCAATGTTGTGTTGATCGCTCCCTATGATTAAAGGAAAGATAACGTATTTTTCTACAATGTTAGTCTGAATAAATACATTAACCCAGCATGGAACTGGGTGGAGGATTCAGTGCTGTATGTTTTGGCTTATGTTGCATTGTGCTTTTTTTGTAAAAACTGATCTAATTGTGTTCCCTATCTATTGGCACTGATGTGCACTTTTGTGCAGTAATAGCTGTGATGTTCCTTCCTGGGATAGGATGGCTCATATCATTTCAGGTGAAAAGTTGGTGTGTTGTTTTCTTGTCATTTTTGTCCAAGGGGGGAGAGAGGGGGGGAGAGGAGAGAGAGGAGATGCTCATCTTTCTTAGAATTTCCAACGATTGTCTGGAATAGGCAAATTGTTGAATTCAGTTTATCTTCAAATCCATTGATTGTGTGTATGTGTGTGTGTGTGTGTTGGCGGGGTGGTGGTGGTGGGGTGGGGGGGGCGATTGTGGGTGGGTGTGTGTGGGGTGTTTGGTGGTGGTGGTGTATGTGTGTGTGTGGGGGGGTGTTTGGTGGTGGTGTGTTTGGGGGTATGTGTGTTGGGGGTGTGCTTGGTGGTGGTGTATGTGGGAGGGTGTGTGTGGGTGTGGGTAGAGTTTGTGCGGGTGGGTGGGGATTGTGTGTGTGTGTGTGTGTGTGTGTACCTATAAATGCCACACATATATATGTGGGTGGGCGTGAATCTGTATTGTATTGACTTTACTCCCCGATGTTGGATGGCCAATTATATGATTCTTTGTTTGTTCTTTCTCTGTATTGAGCCTTTAAGCGAAGACTTGATTTGACTGTATTTATAGAGTGGGCAACTGCTCACTCTCTCTATTTAGGTTTAGTCCTTAGAGGAACTATTTTTACTCCTTTTGTTTGTTCTCAAATGAAGGGGTCACAGCAGCAAAGTATACAATACACAGTCGCTGCCCATCAAGTCATATCCTCTGAAACACTTGGGGACATACGTTTGGTGTTCAAGTCGGGAGGATGTTTCTAAGCGCTTCACAGGATGTACTTTACAGTGTAGTGACTGTGTGTATTGTGAGCGGACGCGGCAGCCGATTTGCACAAAGCAATGTCCCATGAACAGCCATGAAGTGAATGTCTGATTTTATTTGGGGAATTGTTGTTCAAGACTGTTGCTATTTGAGTTGCATTGTTTATAATTATTATGAAGCTTACCTGCCTTGCACACTGTACACTAGATAATAATTGAGGGCTGCTGCGGGTCTGGAAGGTTTCAGCTTTTCCAACTGTATTTTTGTGCCTTAAATTCTATTGGTATGTTTGTAAAGTGTTTGAATAGTCCTAGGGGAGGTGCTAAGGAGCTCATTATCAGTCCCCACGCGAGCATTGGACTTGAAAGCAGTTCATTGTTGTTTTACACGATTTTGCTTTTCAGCCAGTACTTCCAGCTTGTCAGTGTGGTGGTAGTGGTAATGGTGAGAAGGAGCTGGTGGGGGGCAAGTTTTATTGTGGGGGTAAAGGGACGGTTGGGTAGGAATTGGGGAAGCATCAGATCAATGGGCCAAAAGTTCCTTTGTCATCCCAACGTCTCTTCCGATCTTTCTCAGCTTTCTCAGGGTAATAATCCCCCCCAAAATATAAAAATAAGTAAATATATTTGGACACTTGATCCATGCCTGTTTGCGGGACACTGTTGTGCGCAATTGGCTGCCGCGTTTCACTCAGAAAATACATGGTCAATTCACTTTACAATATATTCTGTGAAATGACTTGATAAGATGCTGTATCAAATGCAAGGATTATTATTATCTTGTGGTTCACGCACAACGGAGGTGTATGTAAAGTAGGCGGGTGGGGGTTGTGGTGTGTGTTTGTGTTTTGGGAAAAAAGAGCCATCTCTTAAAATGATCCAATTTGCCTCATTTCAGTATTGTTTATAGGAAGGATGGAGCGAATTTAATGCATCTGTATTTCTCTCCAACATCCTCAGGGTTATGATGCCTGGAAACGAGTCCCTTCCATCAACGTGAAGCTCAGACCTCATTCTCTCTGCCTGTCCCAGGGAGCAGCCAGCCTCGACCATGGGTGAGAATGACGCTGAGAAACAGAGTCAAGCTGGTCAACTGTTTGAGAACTTTATACAGGCATCAACGTTCAAAGCCACCCTCCAGGCTTTCAACATCCTCTGCCGTTACCTGGAGCTCGATCCTCTGGACCATTGGATCTTCTACTCAAAGCTAAAGTCCAAAGTGAACTCATGGAAGGCCAAAGCTCTGTGGAGTAAACTTGACAAGCAAGCCAACCACAAAGACTACAGGAAGGGCAAAGCATGCAACAACATAAATGTGAGTAGAGCTTAGCTAAGCTTCCAGCTGGTGCTGCTCCTGTATATTACTGCTTCAGTTTACAAGTTCGGAGTGAGTCGCACCATTAAATCCCAGTTTAGAGTTTGATTCTCTCTCAGTAAGCCCCTCGTACAGTGCTTGGGCACACAGCAAACAGCAATAACAACAACTTGCATTTATATAGTGCCCCTCATGTAGGGTAGCAGTTAGAGCACTTGCCTCGCAAGCGAGAGGACCTGGGTTTGATTCCCGAGCAGGGAATGTTGGGCAAGTTTCCTTACTCCGCACGCCTCTGTTTACCAGCAGTAAGTAGGAACCCGGTTGTTAGTCGATTGGCGGATCGCTTTTCCAGGGATAATAATCCCTTTTTTAAAAGAAAAACTGCCTCCTGTAACAAAACAACTGGGGAGAAATTCTATCCGGCTTTAACTTGCTATCGGAGTGTCTTGAATTTCAGCAAAAATGTCTAACCTGGTTTAAGGCTGCCTTTTCTGCAGCTCTCGAAAGAGTTCATGGAGTGGGGAACAAACAGCTTCATTATTGAAGGCTGTGTTTAAGGATTTACCCACATTCTTGCTGCACTTAAACAGCGTAAATCGAGATTCGGGCGGCATAATAATAATCTGGTCAATCAATCCACAACCGTTTGAGGGATGCTGCTGTGCGCAATTGACTGCTGCATTTTGTCCACAAAATATGCAGTCAATTCACTTTACAGTGTATCTTGTGAAATGCTTTGAGATGTCTTGAAGACGAGATAAGGCCCTATATCAAATGCAAAGATTATCATTAGTAGTATTTGTACCCATTTATTGTCCACATCACATTAAACCACTCTGGATCTACCTGTTATAACTATTGGTTTACGTGCTGCCTGTTCCATTTTATGTCTATACTATAAACACAACACTTATTGCTTGTTTTGTAATTGCTCGGATGGCATACAGGAATAATAACTGTAAATATTTCATGCCTTAGGGACTCGCGACACGTTTGATCTGAGAAACCAGATGTTAGATTATTTTTAAACCAGACTGGTTAATTTTTAATTGCTTATTGATTTTTATTGCCTATTAGCCCTGGTGTCTCGCTGGAGTGTCAGATACATTAAAAGGGCAACCTCGTTTGATTCGTTTTCTCTCTGGCTCTAAAGGGCTGCCTTTGACATGAGCGGGGATAGCTGGCAGGTTTATCTGCCCGCAGGGATCAGCCACAGCTGCTAGTTTTGTGAGACTGGCACTATAACAATCCTTGTGTTTGGTATGGTGACTTCACGTAAGCAGGACATTTCAAAGTTTTCTGCAGGACTCACTGTAAAATGTGGCGACTGTTTATTTTTGTAGGAAAATGCGACAGACAATTTGTGTACAGCAACTCCCCACAAACAGCCATGGAGTGAACGACCAATCAATTATATCTGGGGGAAAGTCACTGCCCTGAATGCTGTCAAAATACAATCCAATTCAATGTCAAATGCGATATGAAGTCGATCAGCTCTGACATTAATTTGGTTGTATTTCAGGGATGGAGGAGGTGTGTGTGAGGGTCAATTACCCTCTTTACAAATGCTAGATATGTCCATGTGAGTTGACAATGCATCAGACCTAATTAGACAAGTTTATTGGGTCAAATATTAAAATCATCCATCTGGGTCTGTGGCGTAAGTTTGATGCTAATAAGTATTTGTAAACATCTGTCCCATGTAAGTGGATTGGCGTTATTTAAAGGGAAAGTGTAATGTTAGTCTCGAGGCCAGACAGAGATTGGGGGGAGGGTGGGGGAAGGGGAGAGAAAGATGTTAGTACTGAAGGTCCTGCTGATTAATTGTACCTAAACTCCTCCGGGACTTGTAAAATTGATCATTGTGGCGGAAAAGCACAACTGTAGCCAATTTCCACATGTATATCTGCCTGTTGCCAGCAAGTTTTGCTTGTGTAAGCAGTTTCATCTTCATACCAGGTCCTGACCTCTTTGCTTCTGAATCTTAATGGGAATCAGTAGTAACCATCTGAGAACTGATAGAAATTAATAATAATCTTTACATTTGATATAGCACCTTATCAGAGAATCGTCCCTGTATCAACGACAGGAATCTTGCTTGCGAGGTGAGCACACTCACCAATACTCTACAGGACTCCTATATAGGTAGATACATGGATAGATACATTAACAACAACAACAAAATTACATTTGTAAAGTGCCTTTCACGTCGACAGGACGTCCCAAGGCACGGACAGAAAGAGTTATGGACCCGAGCTGAGGGTCGGAGTGGGGGAGGGGTGGGAGGGCAGGGGGGGAAGCAGGGAGATCGAAAGCACAGTCGAAGAGGAGGGTCTCGAGGTGGGTCTTGAAGGTGGCGAAGGAGGGGGCGAGATGGAAGGACTGCAGGATGGAGTTCCAGAGGATGGGTGCAGAGTGGCGGAAGGTCCGCCCGCTAATAGTGGGGCGAGCAAGGCGGGAGACGTGGAGCCTGCTGAGCAGAGGGAGCGAACACGGTGGTAGGGGGTTAGGAGGTTGGAGAGGTCAGGGGGAGCAAGACCATGGAGGGCTTTGAATGTGAGGACAAGGATCTTGAACTCTGTGTGATGGGAAGCCAGTGGAGTTGGGCAAGGATGGGGGTGATAGGGTCACAGAGTTTGGTGTGGAAGAGGACACGGGCTGCAGAGTTCTGGATGATCTGCAGCCTATGGAGGGAGAAGTTAGGGCGGCCGACAAGCAATGAGTTAGTTGAGCCTCAGTGTAATGAAGGTGTGTATGAGGCTTTCAGCCACCTGTTGTGTGAGACAGTGGCGGAGACGGGTGATGTTACGGAGGTGGGGGAAAGCAGAGCGGGTCATGACGCAGATGTGGAGCAGAAAGGATAGTTGAGGGTCAAACAAGATCCCAAGGTTCCGGACTGGCTTAGCAAGGTGGAGGTCACCATCCATGGATGGTGATGCTGTCAGCGCCTGAGTTGAGGAGGCGCTGATGGGCGCCAATCAGGAGAGCCTCGGTCTTGTTGACGTTCAACTGAAGAAAGTTAGCTTTCACCCAGGACTTAATGTCTGACAGACATTCTGTCAGGGCAGCAGTCGGCCCTGGAGTCAAGGGTAGAGACAGAGAGATAGAGTTGGGTGTCATCCGCACACATGTGGAAGTTGACCTCATGTCTGTGGATGATGTCACTAAGAGGGAGCATATAGATGTTGAAGAGGAGGGGACAAAGGACAGATCCCTGAGGAACGCCTCACGAGATGATCCGGGGGCTAGAGGAGAAGCCGTTTGAGGAGATAAAGTGCAGGCGGTGTGAGGTATGATCTGAACCAATCAAGAACAGCGCCGTGGAGGTTGAGGTGAGAGGAGAGGCGGTGGATGAGGATAGAGTGTCAAATCTACTTCGGAAATTTCTCTCCTTATTTCACCTCCTAACCTCTCTCCTGCTGTTGGCCACACAAACCACTCCGTCTCTCTCTCTCTTGCTATATAAGATAAACATCAACCAACATTTGGAGGATGCTCATCGAATGATTCAAATGTTTTGATGGATATATTGACGTTACTCTTTCTGGAGCTCGGACTTGTCAAACAGATGATTTCATTTGCGTGTGTTTGAAGAGGGAATCCTGCCTTCAAACTGCTAAAGATGGTGCTGGATTCACTATAAGATCTGGTTTCTTTTCCCCCCTATTTGTTTGCTGTAAATTTGTGAGTGTGGCTAACAGCATCAGAGAGAGCGAGAGAGAGAGAGAGATACTGAGCGTAATAACGTCAGAGTAAATGAACGTCAGTCATAACGACGGACGTCAACTGTTGTGTTTCCGTTCTCTATCCACTGACTAAGTTCTGACTCACACTGACAATGTCATGCTCCAAAAGTAGTTTGCAGTGTGATTATTAACGTGAGCAGGCTGCCGTACCCAGACACTCTCCTCACTCAATGTCAGTATCAGATGTCACTGCATGGCCAGGAGGAGCCCAAATCCTCTCACTATTGACCAAGGACATGGAACAATTGTAGTTATCTTAATAATTAATAATGATAATATTACTTGCATTTGATACAGCTTCTTTCACGTCAGGAGGACGTCTCAAATTGCTTCACAGGAGTTGCTGTAAGGTGAAGTGATGTGTTTGTAGGCGAGTAGGGTGTTGAGCCGGTTGAGATCAGCTAAGTTTGCAGACCGGGTGGGAGGGCATCAAGTCTAGGACTGGTTGAGTTCGTATAGCTTGGCTCACATTGGGCGGCAGCTTTACCAATGAAGCCATTGGGGGAAGTTGACTGTGATTAAAATGAATCACCATTGTTTTGCTGCAAAATAATTGGCATGTGCAACTTCTCAGCGATCCTTCAACTGTTTTATATCAGCAAAATAACTGCACCACACATTGTGTTGTGTCGACTGATGCTTGGAGCATGTTTAACTGAGGATTAGATTTTTAAAGACTAAGAAACTTTTTTCTTTAAATAAATGCGGAGTTTAAATTGCCGTGTGTGCTCCACTTACACGTGCAGCCTATAGGCTTGAAATTCAACTTTATAATATAATCATCCTTGCATTTGACACAGTGCCTTATCGTGTCTTGAAGCACTTTAGGGAATTTTGCTGTGAAGTGTAGTTACTGTGTGCATGTCGAAACTCCCTACTCTTGGATTTCATTGCGGTAGAAGTGACATTTACCACAGCATCTGATTTGCTGCTATCCACTGAATATCCTGTAACAAACACATTCATAATGCAATTTCCTGACTGGGATGTCTTTCCCTTCCTATTTGTATTGCGGGCATGATTCACACTCATCTGGATTCAGCTGCTCATTTTGCTTCGCTACGTAAATATTTGATTCATCCATTGTTCATTTCACACCTCAGAGATTCAGGCCGTGACAGAGAGACAGCTCTGGTAACCAGTAGGTTCAACATCTCACACATCCTCACCTTTATTCTACAGATGTAGCAATTTATTTTGTGGGGGTGTGTGGTGGGGAGAGTCTTGTTTTTGCTGTTCGTAGCTGACGAGTGCCGCAGTGGGTAACAGTGCATTTATTGAGCAGAGCTTAGCCCCTGGTGATTGTTCTTCTACCCTGTGCTTTATTTCCAATCCAAGTTTGCTTTTAATTAGTACCGATGAAGAACATACGCAATGTACCCACTCCAGGCACTTTATTGGCTGTTTCCTGGCACTTGCCATGTTTGCCTACAAGTACACAGTCACTACACTTGCCAGCAATTACTTGTGAGGTGCTTTAGTGTGCTATCAGCCCATTGCGCACATTATTATTGTATTACTTTGTTCTGTTTCTTAAATGTAGAGTGAAGATACTTCCATTAATGTGAAATAATCATCAGATAAACTCCACGTATAAACCCAAGGAATTTTAGGACATGAAAGGATATTCCTGTGAGTTTCCTAACTTACCAAAGAACAAGGAGGCACGGCGTACGATCCTTTAGTGAGCAATATTGTTGCGTGATGCGAGTCTGCATGTTGTGACTAACACTGATTAATTTTTATTGCATCTGTAGTTGGGAAGAGACCAGAGGCCAACACAAACAGGATGGCAATCAGCTTGTTCATTTCCTATGGGACGTGTTGTAAAGATGATGTGATTGATATGAACTGCATTTAGCCACATGTGAACTCTCTCAAGTTTGAAACGTGCGCAGAAACACTGGTGATACCAGTGGTGCAAGCCATGTGAAGCTCTGTGTTTCTGTGAGCAGAGTTGAGCTCCCAATTACAATCAGATGACCTGTGTTGATGAACGTTCAGCCCTATTGTCCAGAAATGCACGTTTATCTCCCTCGATGCTTCAGTTTGTTAACCAGCTGTCTACTGGAAAGCTGAGCCGTGCAGACCCGGAGGGAGACAAATATTGTCATGCAAAAATAACCCTTGTATATGATACAGCTCCTTATCATGTCTTTGAGATGCCTCAAAGCGCTTCACAGAATATATTGTAAAGTGAATTGACTGTATATTTTGGGTGAAACTCAACAGCCAATTGTGCACAGCAGTGTTGTGGATTGAGTGAGCAAATTATTATTATTATTTTTTGAAGGGATTATTTACCCCCAGAAAAGCGATCCGCTAATTGACTAACAACCAGGTTCCTACTTACTGTTGGTAAAGAGAAATGTGTTGAGTATGGAAACTTGAGTAAGGTTTCGCCTACAAATTCACGTCCTTTCACTTGCGAGGTGAGTGCTCTATTGTGGGGGAAAAAGGGGCAGATAAATGTGCTCGCTAGAATAATGTTATCACCCGAGCAATGTGTGCAAGTGGTTTAGCAGCGTTTGTGGGGCCGCCTTGTATTCTAACTCTCCCAACAGAGGAGAACAAATGTTTTTGCAACTTGCCTTGTGGTCGGTACAGTTTTTAACTTTTTCTAAGACCCAAGTTCCACACTTTGAGCAAGGCTTTACTGGGAGTCTGTGACCATGTTGGCAGATTTTCAGTTGACAGCAAGAGGGGGTTTTTTCTGCCCAAATACACAAAGGTGTGGGTGACAGAAATGCTTACCAAGCTTCCCACTTCCTGCCTGGCAGAACATTGGCGAGTATGTCACAGACACCTACCTGGAAGCCTTTTTTTATTTGCTTCAAAACTAATTCAAAAGTTCAGCAATAGTTTAAATTTATAAAATCATTTTCCTTTAAATGCTAAATTTTAGAGTAAATCCTATGAAGCTCTTTGAGACTTTCCTCCTGGCGTGCAAGATGCTACACGAAATGCAAAGGTTATTATTATGATTATTACCATGGAGATGGGGTGAAGGGGTGAAGGATAACATTTAGTGAAGGGTCACGTGAACTAAAAATCAAAAGTACTGTGATGACTACAGCCCTTAAGTGGATGGTTCGATGCCAGCAAATTGTGGAGGTTATATTCTTGGCAAACCTCTCCCTAATCAGCTAATAATGACTGAACCTGGACTGTGTTTTACTGGCAGTAAAACCTCACCTCACCTTTTATGGTTAGCTTCTGAAAGCTACAGCTGTCTAAGCTCTGGACACGATCCAAAGGCTGGGGTCACTGGCAAAATGCATCAAACTTTAACCAATTATTAAGACTGGATTCCTAGTCCAGTCTATTTTGACACGTGAAATGGGCGGTGAGGAACAACTGGTTTTGCTTTGTTGCCCTTACCCTGGGCTTTGTTCATGTAAAGGTTTGGAGCTGATGCTCTGATGTCTTGTACATTTCCTCTCTTTACTGTAACCAGAGGAGGATGATTACAAATGTGCAACTGGGAGCCTGGAACCACCTTCCCCTCAGCAGGTGGTAAAGGTGCAGCACATCCACCTGTTTGTTTGCCTGCTGTGCCTATGCTTCAGGACAGCTTGAAGATGGGGAAGGAGGGGGCAAGGTGAAGGGATAGAGGGAGAATGTTCCAGAGTTTTGCATTCCATAAAGCGTCCACAAACATTTGTATGTGTAACGTGAAGTGCTTGCCTGACACTCGTACATGGGCTACTGACACTTATATCTGGGAAAACCTTTTTTTAGAGGGTGATCAAAAATGATGCTTTCAAATGCTTAGGCTCGGACGGAAAATGCTTAGGCTCCAAAAATAAAACTCCAAAATAAAATTGCTCATCAGAAATTGTGCAATCAAAATGTTCAGAGGTTAGACTACTTTTCTGGTGTGGCTGAAGTCCTACAGCTTTATGTTATTGACTTACAAATTGCCAAAAAAGGCAAGAGTCTTATCTTCAACCTGAAAATAAAAATAGTGATTGAGCACTGGGCAGATTTAAGAACAGCTCATGGCCCAGTAGTCAAACAGCTGTGTGGGAGCTCCACTCCACATCTGCTGCCACTGAACTGACTCATCGAGATAAGCTTCCAATCTCAGGCTTCGTTCTTGAGGATTTGTTTCCCCTCCAATAATAATAATAATAATAATAAACTTGTGCAATGAACCATTGCATCCTCACCTCATGGTTTCCGATGTGTGTGACTGATGAGAATTGCTGCTGATAAGTATTGAGACATTTCAATTATGCCCTGGATGTAATACTCCAAAACCAATCCCATTCACCTTGTTTTAATCCTCCTTCCTTTGCTACAAGATCACGATATTGGTTTGAACGAAAAAAGGCCCTTTAGTCCATTTCACCTCCTTATCCTTCTAGCCTCACACTCACCCACCTTCTTCCTATCACAGCATCAACTGCCCTTCCTGGTAACTCGAGTTAAGAAAATCTTCAAGAAATGCATTTTTTTTTGCAATTCTAAACTTATGTTCTGTGTTGAGGAGAATCTCTGTCTTGTTCACAGATGCAATTTGGACATTTCACTGTCAGCTTTGGAACCAAGTGGGAGCTTGTGCCTGAGGAGTGGGGGGGAGACTGCTTACAGGAGTAGATGATCATAAAGAGAAGTTACATGGGGCTAATGCAGATTTATCACCTGCTACGCATTGTTGGAAAGGGAGTGTAAACTGGGGACAGGAAGTCCCTTAACAAGCTCTTCCTGCAGTGGAAATATGTAACGAGGCCCTTGCAAGTTTTGAACAGTTTAATTTTTTCCCACTACGCAAATATCTTTAGCGAAACTAGAAGCAGGGATACTTCCTTTTACCACTGTTTAGTCTTTGTGCTGGGATATATGGTTTCCATTGAACAATTCTATTTGGAGTCGCGAGCACAAAACCACTGTTTTTTGAATTGATGGATAATCTGCGCACACGTGTGTGGTGTGTGAGTGTAAAGTAACTTGTGAGGTGTAAAGTAGGAAAAAAAAATCAAGGTGAAGAAGCACTTTGGTCCATTTGATCTCATCTTTCCAGAACCCCCTCCCAGCTGTTTTCCTATGACAACAACAGCAAAATTACATTTGTATAGTGCCTTTCACGTTGGGAGGATATCCCATTACAGCATTGAGCTGTTGCTTGCATTCTCATCATCCTGGTCTCTTTACCATCCTTCTTGCTTACCTATTAATGAAGGTTTGGGTAAGGAAATGCTTCCTATCCTATCCTAAAATTGCCCTTTACCAACCTGAATCAGTGACCTCTTGTGCCGCCTCTTTACCTGAGAATATTGTTATGTGACTATTTTCTCAGTCCCATTCGGCATTTTAGATCCCTCCTATAAGGGTTAACCAGTCAAACCCTTGGAAAGGAAGTGCTTTCAACACCAGCTTCCTGTGGACCAGCCCAGTGTGGCCGCCCAGGGACTGTAGACAATGGGCAGAGCCTTCCCTTTGAAAACAAGGCTCAACAGGAGAGGCCGGTGGGCTGTGTGGGAGCTGGAAACGTTACTCATGGAAATTAAACCAAATACAATCAGAATAATGCATTGACTCTCCCTCAGCACAGCTTCCCCTCACTTCCCTCTTAGTGCCATCTCTGCCGACTTCAAAACTGTGACACATGTCACGCTGGCCTTGGAGTCAGGAGATTGAGGCAGTTCAAAGTCCCACATAAGAATTTGAACTTACCGTCTCGGCTGGCACACTATAGCGTTGTTGGAGATGCCAGCCTTCGGGTGACATGTTAAACCAAGTTCCCATTCATGTCTGTTTAGGTTAAAAATCACATGATAATATCTGAGAAAAGATAGGAGTTTCTCTCTCCCGATGCCTGGGCCACCAAGCCACCAGATAATAAATTGGCCACTTAGTTCATGGCTGTTTGCGGTCAGCCATTGCTGTGTGCAAATTAGCTGCAACGATTGCCTGGAAAATCTAAATACAACAACTTGCACTTATACAGCGCTCTTCCCGTGGGGTGGTGTCAGAGTACTCGCCTCTGTACAATACAGTAACCTGCTTTGAAGAGCTTTGAGATATGCTCTTGATGTAAAAGGCGTTGTATAAAATGCAAGTATTTATTATTTCTTATTGATAATAATAATTACTTTGTGCACGTGTTTTTCTTTTAAGTGTCTCATCATCGGCGGAGGTCCGTGTGGACTGCGGACCGCCATAGAGCTGGCGTTCCTCGGAGCCAAAGTGGTGTTGGTGGAAAAGAGGGACTCGTTCTCCAGAAACAATGTCCTGCACCTGTGGCCGTACACCATCCACGACCTGCGAGCGCTCGCTGCCAAAAAGTTTTGCGGCAAATTCTGCGCAGGAACTATAGACCACATCAGTAAGTACATATAGTTAATGTCTCAAACCACCAGCGCTCAATTACAGCTTCAACAGTGACTGCCTTGCTGCGAGTCCCTCGCAACGTAGCATTAATTTTCTCCATTATAAACACGTTTGTTTTTTGTTAAATGCTTTATTCTGTTTACTGCGCAGTCGGGGAGAATCGTTACATCTCCTAAATCATCAATCTTCCTCTCTTGTAATCGCTCGCTCTCTCTGTCTCTCTCTTGTGAACCTGCCAGGTATTCGGCAGCTGCAGCTGATCCTGACGAAGGTGGCGCTGCTGCTGGGGGTGGAAATCCACGTCAACGTGGAGTTCGTGCAACTCCTGGAGCCTCCTGAGGATCAAGAAAACCAAAGTAGGTTTTGCCTTTGTTTCTCTGTCCTGTCAACGAGGCAGCCAATTTGCGCACAGCAATGTCCCACCAACAGCCATAAAGAGAACAATGGATTCTATTTGGGGGATTGTTGGCGCGGACAACGGGGAAGAGAAACTCCCTACTATTATCAAACCCCTGGGTGCAGATGTAAGGCCCAATGAGTCCTCTACCACTTTTTGCCTTTTTGTTTTTCCACCACAATGTCCTTTATTCAGTGTTTTTCCAGTTCCTTTTTGAATGATTCTATTGAACCGGCCTCAGTAATAACCGTGCCACCCAGAGCCTAGATACAGCCCTGGTCAAAGTGACAAATGGTCCATCTGCGACCAGGGCTCCCTCTGCCTCCTCGTCCTCCTTGACCTCTCTGCTACCTTCAACATTGTTGACCACTCTATCCTCCACCACTGCCTCTCCTCTCACCTCAACCTTCCTGGTTCTGTCCTTGACTGGTTCAGATCGTACCTCTCACACCATCTCTACTTCATCTCCACAAACGGCTTCTCCTCTAACCGCCAGACCATCTCATGCAGTTGTTCCTCAGGGCTCTGTCCTTGGTCGCTTCCACTTCCAACATCTATATGATCCCTCTTGGTGATATCATCCGCAGAATGTCTGTCAGACATCAAGTCCTGGATGAGAGCTAACTTTCTTCAGTTGTACATCAACAAGACCGAGGCTCTCCTGACTGGCTCCCGTCAGCACCTCCTCACCTCAGGCGTTGACAGCATCACCATCCATGGTTGCACAGTCCACCTTGCTAAGCCAGTCCGGAACCTTGGGGTCTTGGTTGACCCTCAACTATCCTTTCTACCCCACATCCGTGCCATGACCTGCTCTGCCTTCCCCCACCTCCGCACCATCGCCCGGCTCCACCACTGTCTCATACCACAGGCCACCGAAATCCTCATACGTGCCTTCATAACATCGAGACTCCACTACGCAAACTCCTTGATTGTCGGCCTCCTCCGCCCATGTCCTCTCCCGCACCAAGCTCCGTGACCCTATCACCCATCAAGATCCCGGTCCTCACCTTCAAAGCTCTCCATGGTCTTGCTTCCCACTACCTCTGCGACCTCCTAACCCCTACCAACTTGCCCGCCCGCTCTGCTCACTGGGCTCTGGCCAGCTTCACGTCCCCCACCTCACTTGGCCCGCATTGCCCCACTCTGCTCCAACCTTCTGGAACTCCATGTCGCAATCCCTCCGGCTCACCCACTCCCTGCCTCCTTTAAGATCCATCTCAAGAATCTTCCTCTTCGACCATGCCTCTGGTCACCCTCCATCCCCCCCGCTTTCCACCCTCCCCGATCCCAACCCCCAGCTTGGGTCTGTCGAGACCCGAAACACTGACTGTCCAGCGCCTTGGGACATCTTCCTGACTCGAAAGGCGCTCTACAAATGTAATCCTGACTTTTCTCTCGCCTGTGGGCAGCAAGTGGGGCTTGTTGCAGTTTAAAACTCATCAGCAAACATCAGTCGTGTCGCAGAGCTCTGAAATGGTGACGCACACCAGGAGGATGTTTAACCTTCTATGCTGGGCAGACACTGAGAATGTCATCTGAAACCATCTATTTGTTCCACTGACATTTGTAAATGGGAGAACGGAAACTTTCTCCATCTGCATCAATTATTTCAGACAAGAGGGGGGTGGGATTGGAGAGCGGGGGGTGGGGGAGCTCTGTGGGAAGAGTTCTGAGAAATGATTGGGTAACTTGGGGCTCCTCAGAGGGGACGTTATAAAGTAATATGATAATAATTATAATAATAATAATCCTTGCATTTGATATAGCATTGTATCATGTCATTGTGACATGTTGCAGCATTTGGAAGGAGTTGTTGTGAAATTGGTAACTGTATATTTATAGTTGAAGGCAGTGTAGCAGCCAATTTGTGGCAGCAGAAATTGTTGGCCTGTTGTACATGGGGATGGGTTGGAAGATAAGAAAATGGCTGGGATTTTATGGACCTCCTTCTACCCCCCGCCCCCCCCCGACTCCACTCTACTCCACCACATTATAACAGGGCACCACTGTAATTTGCTCTTCAACACTTCAGCTTGGCTAGGTTTAATTGTATGCTTTATAAACACTTTGGTTTAGGAGTAAATCTGGTAATTCATGAATAATTCTTTTAAAAGTCTGGTTATGATTTGGATGTTTAGGAGTCAGAGATACATGTTCCCTTTGCTTGAATTCTTTTTATGTGCAGTAAGGCCACATAAAGCTCTCAGTTTGCTGTCAATGACCTTCCCTACCAGTTGCACGTATTAACGACTTGTTCACTAACAGGGAAACCACAGAAAAACATTCCTTGTATAAATATCCCATGCTGCCTGCTCTTTTGAATGGATTCCATTGGATTGCATTGCAAAGTGTACATTAGGTTGAATGGAAGATTCTCAAATCCAACCGGAACTTGGAAGCCAGTCTTCCACAGTCCTTGTTGGCAACAGCGTTGGCTGACTTGGAAGTTACAGGTTATCAGCCGTTTCCTGTTCTCACTGAAGCAGTGTTGAGACAGTTTGAGACATCCCCCCCGATGTGAAAAGGGGGGATGTGAATGTAAGATATAATAATAACGCTTGCATTTGATGTAGCGCCTTATCATGCCATTGAGACTTAAAGCGCTTCACAGGCTATACAGTAAAGTATAGAGCTAGCTCAGTGGAGTCCTGTAGCTCAGTGGTTAGAGCACTCGCCTTGCAAGTGAGACACCTGGGTTCAATTCCAGGCAGAGGGCGAAACCTTGGGCAAGTTTCCTTACTCCACACACCTAATAATAATCCCTCCAAAACAAAACAATAATAAATTGGTCATTTTCAATCCACGACTGTTTGTGGGACGCTGCTGTGCGCAATTGGCTGCCGCGTTTTGCCCACAAATGTACGGTCAATTCACTTTACAGTCAATTCTGTGAAGCACTTTGAGAAGTTGAAAAGATGTGAAAAGCGCTATATCAAATGCAAGGATTATTATTATTAAAGTGGATTGTGTGTTTTGTGGGCGAAATGCGGCATTATTATTGTAAAACAGCTCAGTGATAAACTGCATGAAGGTCTCAGATATTTGAAACATTCTTTTATATTAACCCCCCTTCCCCTCCCTTCACTCCCACATTAAAACTACCCTTTTAAGACCTATATATTTCAAAAGTTGCTTCAAGCATTATTATGGTCAGGAAGAAGTGCAGAGAGGGTGACAAGCAGCAGATAAATATAGAAGTTCTTGAGAGTGGAGATGGAACCTGGTCATATCTGGCGAAATGAGCTGAGGTTGGGTGACAGTGGTTGATAGGTCCCTACTTATAACTTTTTTTTTCCAGAGGGTAATTTTAGATTTATCCACTGGGAAAATATTTTTGGCATTCCGAGCCTCTCAGGCAGCAACTCTCTGAGCCTCTGCCACATTTGGCGATGGGTGTCCTTCAGATTTGTTTGCGTCTCAACCCAGTCTCATACCTGATCGTGATACGACTGACACGTGGCTTGGTAATGGAGTAGCGAGCTGGGTATAGGTGGATCCCAATAAAACACTGACCCCCTCTTTGCCACAAAGCCACTGGGCATCACAAAACCCAAACATCTTGATGGACCCAGTTAATAATAACTGCTCGCTTTAGGATGGAAGAGCAGCAGATAATAATAATCCTTGCATTTGTTATAGCGCCTTACCATGTTGTTGAGATGGCTGAAAGGGCTTCACAGGATACATTATAATGTGGTTTGGCTGTGTATTTTGTAAGTGAACGCAGCAGCCAATTCGCACACAGCAATGCCCCACAGACAGCCATCAAGTGAATGATCAATTTCTTTTTTTTACCTGGAGGATTGCTGGTCAGGAACTGGGAAACACTTGTGAAATAATTGCAAGTGAAGTACAGGAGTAGTGGGTCCTGTTGATTTTAGAGAAATCCTGAATATGTAACTGAATGGCCGTGTGTTTTCCTTCTCTAACAATTCTTTAGGAATCGGCTGGAGAGCTGAGGTTCGTCCGATGGATCATCCAGTGTCCAATTTTACGTTCAATATCATTGTCGGAGCAGATGGACGGAGAAACAGTTTACAAGGTAATAAACTTCACCGGAAAGGTTTCTTGTGGCAGAGCCAGGGATGTTTATCAGTGTGTCTGGATGACGAGCTTCGCTCTCGAGCCCAGCGACACGGGTTACCAACAGGATTCACACAAAGAGAACTTGCATTTATACAGCGTCCTCCAGTGAAGGATATCAACGTGGATAAAGATGGTCCTTTGGCCCATCTAATCTCACCCTTAACCGTCCTCCCATCCCAGCATCGACGTCTTCCGCTTAGATAGTGATTCAGAATGAAGGAATGCAATAGTGACTGGTGTGGGTATGACTCCCAGGGTATGTCCCACTATTGTTCACTGGCCATCAGCCTGATGGAGAGGCCAAGTTGACAGCTTGTGAGGGAAGCGGATACATTGGTCCTGTGTCAGTCGTGTGTGCTTCTCTGAGACGCGGGTAACATTGACTGAAAGTGCGGTTGAAAAGATAACTCTTTAAAGTGTGGAATGTTGCTCTCAGCAAACCTGTGCATATGTACCTCCAAGTTCAGGTCTTCCTAAGGTTTAAACTGAGACTTTAAAGTCATGTATGTGTGTGTGTGTGTGTGCGCAAAATAACCCCACACCCACAAGGGGCGAGGTATATTTTTCTGGGGATGTTGAAACAGCTGGAATAATAAATCTGCTTTCAGGTTTTCGAAGAAAAGAATTCCGTGGGAAATTGGCCATCGCGATTACTGCCAACTTTGTGAACCGGAACACGACAGCGGAGGCCAAAGTGGAGGAGATCAGCGGTGTTGCCTTCATCTTCAATCAAAAATTCTTCCAGGACCTGAGAGAGGAAACGGGTGAGCTGTGGCCTGCCAGGCTGGACAGCGTTTAGCTCTGTGCTTCAGGGCGGGGATGGGGGCAAGGTGTCTGTCCTTTCTCCAGATCAGCCCACATCAGTCAGACTGCACAGAAGAAGCTTCTTCCAAGACTGAATTTAAAGAGGATTGTATCTGTCATTTGTTCTGACATTGCTTATTCTATAGTCAGTTGTATCATTTGTTATTGATAAATAAGACAGGTGTTGTTTTGTGTGTATTTTTCCAATCCCATTTTGTTTAATCTTCAAACAGAGGATATAGATTTAATGTTGCAAAGGGCAATTTCAGGGCTAATGCCCTGTCTGCCATTTTGCCCACAAAATATACAGTGAATTCACTTTACAGATATCCTGTGAAGCACTTTGAGACGTCTCAACGACGTGATAAGGTGCTATATCAAATCAAGGATTATTATTACTGTTATTATTATTGTTCCTAATTATAGGTTAAAATGCTGTCACCTGTCTATTGTATGAAAGTGTTTCTGGAAACCCATTGTCTTAACTTAATTCCTTTTATTCTCCACATTTCAATTTCAGGGATTGACCTGGAGAACATTGTTTACTATAAAGATAACACTCATTACTTTGTGATGACGGCCAAGAAGCAGAGTTTATTGGATAAAGGAGTCATTATCCATGTGAGTATCAGGGCCACAAGTCAAAATCGCTGCTCAGTCACCCTATCACCCCCATCCTCGCCCGGCTTTATTGGCTCCCCACCCCCAGTGGTCACTGACCTACTTTGTGTCCCCACCTTGTCCACTCTCCCACCAGTGGGCACTGGCCTGCTCTGTTTCCCCACCCTGCCCTCTACTCCATCAGTGGTCAGACCTTCAGGCTTTTTGCCCCCACTCTCTGGAACTCTGTCCTCCCGCACCTGCCAGTTGTTTTCATGCTGGTTTAAACACGCTGAGTCCTTGAGGCCGGTAGCCATGAGCTGATTCAAATCAAAACAATGTAGGATAGTTACATCAACAACTAACAGGAGACCCGTTGTGTAATCAACACATTTCTTACTTCTGAACCAATTCAATTCTTCAAGGCACAACATACAGTCATTTTCCCATAACATTTCATCTCGGGCTATATCATACGTCATACCTAGACATACACTCTACAATCTAGCTGACTCTGATTAGGTCTCTAGAAATGTCTACAAATCATTCTGATACAGACTTAACAATTCCATAAGCATTTCTAATTGAACTAAAATAATATTTTAAGTAATAAGATTTCTGATTCCAACAAAAGGCACTAAATAAATGCAATCCATAGCTGTTTATACCACGGACTTGCTAGGAGGACTGGACCTTTGTTCCCAATGGGGAATGGAGGCCTACAAGCCACTGACTAGCCTGTATTGGAAGCCCAGAACTTGATTTGCTGAAGAGGATCATGCTAACAGCATGGGGAGGCAAAGACATAACCTCCTGCCAACCGCTGACACGTTCCAAATCAAAATCAGTCTGTGCCAACCACAAGCTTGGATTAGATTGATGCCAAATCAATACTTGCTACAGAGAACCTTTGCATTATCTTTTATATACCGTTCCAATTCACATGCACAAGTGTTCACAGCTGACTGTGTAGCTTCACTGAGCTCTCTCTCTCTCTCTGTTGCTCAGGATTACATTGACACAGAGATGCTCCTCTGCAGTGAAAATGTGAGCCAGGAGGCCCTTCAGTCTTACGCCAGAGAAGCCGCTGACTTTGCCACCAACTACCAGCTGCCTTCCTTGGACTTTGCAATAAACCACATCAATCAGCCTGATGTGGCAATGTTTGATTTTACCTGCATGTACGCGTCTGAGAATGCGGCTCTGGTGCGAGAGAGACACAGTCACCGGCTGTTGGTCGCTCTGGTTGGAGACAGTTTACTGGAAGTTAGTATCATTAGTTTACACTTAATTTACACTTCTTTGTGAATGAACGCAAACTGGTGCAAAGGGTACAGACAGAATATTTTGAGGGGCGAGTATATAATAATCATGATAATTATTAATGATAAAAATAATTCTTGCATCTGATCTAGTGCCTGTAATGTCTTTGCCGGTCATTCGTGGGTAGCGGGCCTACAAAATGCACAAACAAAATGACAGCAAAATCCTGCAAATCACATTTAAATGTTTGGTAACAATGCACTATGTCCAATGCAACCATTATTATTATTATTTTATTATGTTATTACAGTTTGAATCATTCTGCAGAGGTTTATTAGAAGAATGCACTTAGATGTTTGTCAGGGTTGTTGCTGTGTAAATAATGCAAACTGTGCACAACCACCCGACGGTAATAATAATGATAATATGTCATTGTTATTATTTTTACTATAATCATTAACATTTACCCGCCAGTGCTCAGAAGCAAAGGGCTGTGCTTATAATTGTGCAATGCATTGCAGTATGATGTGTCTTGCTTTCGATTAACGTTCCTTTTTGTCTGGTTTGTACAAACTGCAGCCGTTCTGGCCAATGGGCACAGGCTGTGCCCGTGGGTTCCTGGCTGCATTGGACACAGCGTGGATGGCAAAGAGGTGGGCACAGAGCGTCCCCCCTCTGGAGATCCTGGCCGAGAGGTGAGAGGGTAGGAAGGGAAAAAAAAACACGAATCGCACGTCTGTTGAATTTGTTTTATATTAATCTACGCTGAGGAGGATCCATCTCAACCTCATTCCCATGAAAGCTTGTACATATTTGTTAATTGATTTAATCCACTAGACATTACAGAACAAGTGCCGACTATTTGCCAACAGAACATTTGTCATAATAATCTTGCATTCTGTTTCTCGCTTGGAAAAAAAAATGCCAAAGTCTATACTTAGATTGGAATTTCTTTTGAATGTTTTTGCCGTGTTGTGGAGAGAATGTTAGTAAGCTGTCCCAGCGCAGGGAATGACTCACACTGTCTCTACTCACTAACCCGAAGACTGTCATAATCTCTGTCAAGTATGTTGAAGAGTTTTTTTGTTAATTTTCCCCTGCTGTGCGGAGACTGGTATTTTCCCTTCCCCCCCCTTTCCAATTCTCCCTATTCTGACTCCGGGAAGGGATCCATTAACTTGTGCTTTGGTTTAAAGAGTGGTAAATGTGGGAGATGATCTGATGCCCACAGACAATAATGTATCTCCCCTCTTCTCCTCCAGAGAAAGTATCTATCGACTTCTACCTCAGACCACACCTGAGAACATCAGCAAGAACTTTGAGCAGTACACCATCGACCCCGGGACACGATACCCAAACCTCAACTCAAACTGTATCCAGCCTCACCAGGTGGGGCCAGTGTCTGTGTGGGGCATCTGAACAGCACCAGAGAAAACTATTCCTTTGACCTTTTCACAGTGTTTTGTCAAACAACCTCCAGCTTTTCAATCCACCTTGGATTTATTGGTGGTGCGGGGGGTGGGGGGGGTGTGTGGAGGGGGCAAGTATGTAGTGCCAAGGAGGGATAACCTCCAGAGGATTCTCCCCTCCCTGCCCCCCCAGCGCACATTCCACAAAGGATATCTGTGGCATCAAACATATATTGCCAAGAGAACATGCTTCCCATTTTTGTAATTGGATGGTAAATGCAGATCGACTGTAAGTGAAGGAAAGCTGCGTGTGTGTTGAGGACTGCAGGCTGACAGTCCAGGATAAATTCCACAGACTGCCATATCTAATAGGCGATAATCTTATGCTCCGCTAATAGCTCCAGCCGTGCGTCAGAGACCACATGAAACAGTGCAGTGCTGGGTTTGTTCTCTGTCTGCCTCACTGGCGGAATGTCTGACCACTCCTTTATTCCCTGGAATGCAGTAACTAGATGCTCGGAATTCCACCTGGTTTTAGCCTTTAAAACAGTTTCGGCTTTCAATTTAAGTTTGCCTGCAAAATACACAGTCACTTTACTTTCCAGTAAAAATCCATTGAAGAGCTTTGAGACTTCCCCATGACATGCTGCATCAAATGTGAGGATTATAGGATTGTGCAGAATTGTGGAAAATTCTTCAATTCAGTCTTAACTTGGAAGCTGATTTTCTGCAGGTCTTAAACAGAGATTGTGACTGTGCTTAAGTCGCATCTTATTCACAATTTGGCCTTAAAATTTGAGGTGAAGTGATCGTGGATACTAAGACTAGCTGGAGTTTTTGGTTTCAGATGGAAGAGCGTGTCAGTTTCTTTTTCTGCTCTTTCTTTAGGTTCATCATTTGTACATCACGACTGAGCTAAAGGACTGCCCGTTAGAGCGAGCAAACTCCATTCGCAAATCTATCAAACTTTCCCGCCATGGTGAGTAGCTCTCGAAACACTCCTCAGAACCGAACTTTCCATTTTGCCATCATTGATTGAGAATGTGTGTATGGCAGGAATTCAAACCAAACTGGCACATCCACTTATAGCTTCAAATCAGCTGCTGTACATTGCCCCCCACCTTCACTGTAATGTTGTTTCATCTCATCACAGAATCTGAGATTCGTCCTAATCGACTATTAACCTGGTGTCAGAAGCAAACCGAGGGCTATGAGAATGTGACCATCACTGATCTGACCAGCTCTTGGAAGAGTGGGCTCGCACTTTGTGCCATCATCCATCACTTCTGCCCCCATCTCATGTAGGATTCATTTATTGGTTTCAAACAGTCGTGTGTGTGTACGTGTGTGTATATAGAGCAGCAAACTGGTGACAATACATTGTCACTACAAGAACAGAAGTGCCAGGGCTTTTCCACAAAATACATTTGCTTTGTGTTTCTCTGTGATTTACAAGTACAGTATTTAAAGGCTTTGCAATCTGGAATCTCCAATAATGCAACAATTTGGCATACACTGCAACAGGAACTTACACTACCGACAAAGCCCAAAACGTTTTTTTAATCTTAATGTTGCACAAAACTATAGTGGAAAGCATGCAACCCCAGGAACTCATAAATAGTTGGTTCAAGTGTTGCTGCGGTTGTATTGGGCTTTAGATAGAGGGTTATAGGTTCAGCCCTGTATAAGGTTGGGAAAATTCTCCATAATCTAAACGCAAGTGATATCTGCCATAAAGGAAAGTGTAATGTCAACATAGTCATGGAAGTGCTGTGAAAGATCAAGTAAGCCATGGATTTAGTGCGGTTATTAAATTGCCTCCTTGTATTTAGCTTTGCGAAATTACAGACCCTGGTTTTATTGAATGGGGATCGCAACTTGCAACTTGCCTCTAAGCACTTTGTATGAGAAAAGAGGTTGAGGTGGGTTTTGACTGTGATTTTTGGAAAAACTGTACCCTCTTGCATTGAGGCACTTTTATCCATTTTGCACAATTGCAACCTGTCCAAGTTCAATGGTAAATGAACATCTTAGGATAAACTCTGCTCTGGTTCCCAAAGGGTCGACCCAGATGTGGGTGTGAGGGAGGGAGGAGGTGAGGCAAAGGGACTCTGGTCCATTTCCTCTCCCAGGGTTGTGCTACCAGTCAGCTGTGTACACTTGTGTATGTAAATTGGAACGGTATATAAAACAAACGGTGGCCTTGCAGATAACACATGCCTTTGTCCTGCAGTGATTTTGACTCTCTGAATGAGGAGGATGCTGCCAAGAACAACCAGTTGGCATTTGACCTCGCGGAGCAGCAGTTTGGAATCTCGCCCATCACCACTGGCAAGGAGATGGTGGCCGTGAGCGAGCCGGACAAGCTGAACATGGTCATGTACCTGTCCAAGTTTTACGAACTATTCAGGGGCACTCCACCCCTGGCTGCCTGTGAGTGAGCACCCTTCATGTGCAATGTAGAAGTGAGAGTGGGGATGGGTGAGTGGTGGGGATGGGGTGGTTGGGATGTGTGTGTGTGTGTGGAGAAAGCTGCTCCAGGGGCAAGGAAGCAACAAAAGCAAAGTCCAATAAATCCATATTTTGTTTATTTTATAGCAATTAAGGATAGAGAAGGCGGCAACGAAATGTCTGCAGCTCCATTTAGACAATCCAACTTGTTCCGCCTCCGAAACCTGTCATTGCCAAGGAAACGTACACCAAAGGTAAGAGATAAGGCAGGTCATATACTGAGACACTGAGGCAGCTTGTGGAGTTTCGAGTGGTATAAGAATTGTCTGTCGCTCACTCTAACTAAATTTCACTCTCCTCCATCCCTCTGTTAAATGTCTGTGAATGGAGGACAATGGTAGGGAGCTCTCATCAGATGGTCCACATTGAAGGTACCACATCATTATGAGCTGAACAGAGAACTGGAAGGTTTTAGATTTTAGTTTGGTTTGATTCCCTGGTCTGTGCTGAGTTATCTGATCTCACCTGGATTTGCGGTGGGTGGGCATGGGGGTGTGCATAAGGGTGGGGGGGCAGTGAGGAGTACCCCCTCAGTGTACAGGGCCAGGGAGGACACTGTCAGGCAGGGTTCACATCATGATCACTCTCCAGTGGCCCCTTTGCTTGTTTTGGAGACGGGACGTGAGACCAGGATGTGGGCCTATCCGTGTTGATGCCTGCAGTCGGGCAGACTGCCAACATTCACTGTCTAGCTTCATCAACAAAGACTTGCTGTGTGGATGAGGTGCTGGAGCTAAGCATATGGCAGAGTGGGTCAGTACCTTGAGGAAGAGAGAGGAAAATTGGAGGGAGAGGAAGATTCCGCCTTGTGTGCTGGAGGGACGTGCCAACAGCGAAGTTGGAAGCTTGGGTTTTTCTGGTTGCGTCTGTGAATTGTCTGATTGATAGGCAAATCTTGACCTGCTGGTGAGGCGGCTGAGTCATCCGATAAGTACAAATTAAAATTTCATTTAAATTGCCTTTTGTGTGAAGTTGTGGAGAAATACGCAGTTTGTCAGCACCTGGGACTCAGTGCCCACAGTGGGATCGGAAATGACTGCACACAGTAGTGTGAGTGGGTGGCAGTGCTGTGTGGACATGTATGGTGGTGTGATTGGGTTGGGAGTGTTTAGGAGGTGTCGATGGGGCACTGAGAAAACAGAGGAGAGGACACGGGTTCAGTGTTGGCAATTTGAGATCAGAGACCTGGATGTTTTTCCTTATCTAGAGGGTGATTAATGCCTTGGAACAAGTTGTCAGGAAGGGTAGTTGAGTCCTTGACGCTGGCCTGATCCAAAGGGCCTTCGTCATCCAACCCTGTGATGATGTTAGCCTGTACCTTGTATAATCTGTATAATCTGGGCAGCTATTGTATAGGTTTATGTTCTGGTGATTGGTCACGATTCCTGGAAGCTCTCTGGCCTTGTGTAGCATTCTGTGATACTGCATTCAGAGAAGCATCTGCAACAGATAGGAGATGGGACAACACCAACAACTCGCATTCATATAAGCATCTTTTTCATAATAGTTTAGATGTTCAGAATCTCTCCCCAAACCGCTTTGGCTGCTTGGACACCAAAGGAGAGAATTCTGGAAATGATGCTATTCATGTTGAATGGGGAGTGTTTGAGGAGGTGATTTGTGCTAAGACACGAAGGATGAGATCAGGTGGAATGAAAACCTGAAGAGCGTTTTTCAGCCAAACCTCTCGCTCGTGAATTTCCAATGCCACTCATTTTGGGGGCTCCATTAACAAGGCAAAGTTTGGCCCCAGTGAAGACATTAAGTTAAAGTAGTATATCACACCGTTCTATTCCTGGCCATGGAAGTACAGACAATCCCACTCCCTCCCCATCTCTCTTTCCCTATGCCACTGACATTGTAAGTCAGAGCTCTGGATATCAGTGTGTGTACTATTGCAGCGGTCATCCTGTGCTTGTCACTATTGGAAAATCTTTGTTTGTTGTTGTTTGCGTGTTAGTTGTTGTTTGCATGTGGGTTTGTTACTTGTTGTTGTTGTTTGCGTGTTGGTTGTTTGTGTATTGGTTTGTTTGTTGTTGTTGTTTGCACGTGGGTTTGTTAGTTGTTGTTTGCGTGTTGGTTGTTTGTGTGTTGGTTTGTTTGTTGTTGTTGTTTGCACGTGGGTTTGTTAGTTGTTGTTTGCGTGTTCGTTGTTGTTATTTGCGTGTTAATTGCTGTTTGCGTGTTATTTGTTGTTGGTTTCGTGTTCGTTGTTGTTGTTTGCACGTGGGTTTGTTAATTGTTATTGTTGGTTCTTGTTGTTTGTTGCTTTCCGTATCTGGTTTGATATTTTAATGTGGAAGTTTGACCTTCTGGTTTCTAGGCAGACACAGATTATCCCCCTGAAATGCACCTTTTTATCACAGTTAACACAAACGTGCAATCAGCGTGTACCAATGTGACACAAGAAGTTGTGTAAAAGCAAAAAAAAAGCATTTATTTTCCTCGAAACTGAAGTGGAGGCTGCCATTGGAGACAGAAAATGGCAAAAAAATTACACTTCTGATCACATCTACACATCACATCTATTCAGTTTCATTTTAAGAATCGTCCGGGTTATGTGGGTTGCAAAATGAGCTGCTTCTTGGGTTATTAATAAAAATAATAATCCTTTCATTTGATGTAACGCCTTATCACGTTGTTGAGACATCTCAAAGCACTTCACAGGTAACACTGTAAACTATTTTGTGGGCAAAACACAGCAGCCAATAGGGCACAGCAGTGTCCCACAAACCGTGGATTGAGTGACCAAATTATTATTTATTATTTTTTTTGAGGGTTTATTATCCCGGGAAAGTGATCTACCAATCGACTAACAACCAATGAATCTTTATGTCACAATTTTAACGTTCAAACCATTAAATGGTGAGATCTTAATTTTACTGCAAATACATGGGAATGTTTTTCACTGGATTGCTATTTATCGTACAATTTCTTGGTGGTAATTAGCATGGGGTGGGGAGGCACTGAGAGAGGGGAGGAGAGTGAAATGTTAAAGGGAAGATTACAGGTGCTGTTTCATACTTTAGAAAAATGTACATCAACCTCGCTGCATTTTATTCCGTTGTCACAAGCTATTGAACAAAGTCTATCTGTAATGAATGTGAATTTTAATCAGGAATGTAAGCTGTGAAATACGTAGTTCTGTTCTTCTCCATTTCACTGATCTCGAAATAAAGGGATAGAGTTTTCAAAAAGACCATGTCTGGTTTCCTGTGTCAACTGATTGTTTTTTAAAAAGTAAGCCTTGCATTTGATATTGTGCCTCATCATGTCATTGAAATGGTTCAAAGCATTTCACACGATTGTTTTTTAACTGTAGTGTAGTGACTGTATGTGTGTGTATTTGTATGTGTGTGTGAGAGAGAGAGAGTGTGCAGAGGTGAAGTGTAGCAAGCTTGTGTTACGCACTTTGGGAAGTCATCCTGATGTGAAAAGTGCCAGATAAGTATAAATTGTATTTTGTAGGCGAATGTGGCAGCCAGTTTGCATACAGCAGTGTACAAGGTTTCAAGCTGCAGGCAAACCAAAGAACTTGGGGGTGGATGGGGGGAGATTTATACAGTGCACAGAGTAATATTTACTAGAAATAAGAGTTTGCACGGTTTCACTGGCCGGGGGACGGGTGGGGGGGAGACCTGCTTTGTTCAGATCACATTGCACTTTGTAGCTGTGACTGCAATAACATAGTATTGTTTCCCAGCCCATGCCAAGCGTTGTGTTGTGGTTGATTTTAAAGCGATTATTCCTACAGGGTGAAGAATTTGGATACTGGACAACTGTATGTATCCCAACAGCTGTTGTTATTCCCATTTATTTGCTTAACTTACTTGAAAAATTCAATTTATGTTTTTTCGAACATGAGATACATTGAAGGATACAAGTAAAATTCAGGAGTCGTGTATTTACAAACAATCCTTGTTTCTGAAAAACAAATTGCTCTTTCTTTAATCAGTGGGACTAAACTGCTTTATACACAGCTCTGATTGTAGAATCCTCATCACCTCCTCTACATGTTTCACATAATTAATCTTCTTCCCTCTTTACAGGAAGAACGAAAGCCCGAAGAGAATGACACCATGAGCAAAAGGCGGAAAAGGACCAGCATTAAGCTGGAGGAGGTGAGTGTCAGAAAGGAGGGGGGAGGGTGGGAAGAGGAGAGAGAAAACCAATTTGTTGCCCCCTGAATGTAACAAGAAGCCAACAGTTGCTGTTTCTTACTTCCCTGATAGTTTGTTGGCAGATGGTGACATTGGCTGTATTTGTACAGGAATGGATTATGTAGCAGATGTGAGGAAAAATTATCTAAAAGGATTTGGAGTTGTTAGATTTAGAGAAGGATACGCGCTGAACAATAACAACCACAATTTGTGTTTATGTAGCGTGTATGATAATGTCACCGAGAGGTTCACTGAACCCTCTGCCATAACAAGCGAACTGCAACAAAGGTTCATCATTGTGTCGACACCAAGGATTATTGTCCTTCATTGCCTCCCTTGTTACAAACATTTAAGTTTGTCACAAAAGTGCAAACACAGTTACTAATTGTACACAATTACTAAATGGTCCAAAACAATGTGTGAGGATGATTTCCTAAAATTATTAAATTGGAAACTTTTATTCACACAAAGTGTTGTGGAAATGTAAGGATTTTTATATCAAATGCAAGGATTATTACTATTACAGAAAGCATGCTTTACGATTCTATTTGTTGATACAGTATATCTGGTTTTGATATAAATGATTTGCTTCCGTCGCTTCAGAACCAAGCTATTTACTCCAGGAGCAACGGGACTGAGATGAAAAACGCCACAAATCAAAATAAAGTCAGATCCATGGCCACCCAGCTGCTGGCCAAGTTTGAAGAAAATGCACCGAGCGCAGCTCTGAGGCGGCAGGTGAGAAGCTGAGTATTACTGAGCGAGCGCCGTGTACAGCTGGCGAAAGGTGATGCCATGTCCCACTAGAGTACAAGCCCTGAGCACTCGGTGCCTGTGTACATGTCATGTACCAGTGTAAAGGATCCACGTTAGGCTGAGCACTGGAGGAGGATGTCAGGGAGATTGCACTGCTACAGAGTTTTAGAGCTAAATTGCTGTTTGGGTTCAGAGCACGAATCCCAGGAATCGTTTTGATTTTCCCTCTCTCTCTCTCTCTCTGCCTTTACTCCTCGCCTTTGGCTCAGTTGTCGAATAATGTACACTAGGAATCCGTGCCTTCAAACCTAATGAACCCTCCGTTGCCCAGGCTCTGTGGCTGTTTACACCAACTCTCGCTTTGCCAGACTTCAGAACCAAACCCACTTGCAGGCAGGCCAATTTTCACAAAGCAATGACCCACAACAGCCATGTAGTGAGTGACCAATTATATCTGGGGATTATTGTCCAGGACACTGACAGAGAGAAACTCCCATCTCTATTTGAAGTGCCATGGGATTTTTAACATCCACCTGAGCAGACAGACAGGACCTCGGTTTAATGTCTCATCCCCACTCTCTGCTGTCTCACTTCCTGTTTGATTTCTGTCTTGCAGTTCTCTTCTCTTTTTGATTCTCTCTCTCTCTCCTTCCCCTACCTTTACTCCTCTCCTCTGGCTCTGTCATGGAATAACGCATACTAGGAATCCATGCCTTCAAACCCAATGACTCCCCCGCTGTCCCGGGGCTCAGTGGCCAGTTACACCAACCCTCGCTTTGCCAAACCTCAGGACCAAACCCACGGTGCTTCTCGACCACCAGCAAGGCAGGTACGGAGTTGAGAAGAAACCACCCACGCACTGCCTTTAAACACACACCTCAGGACTGTCCCCATGACGTTGACATAATCACAGGGTTCAGATAACACGACACACAGAGCAGCAAGACTCTCTGACATGTTACGATTTAAACCAGAGCAACAATCAGTTATTGATCACGATGGTCCATACTGTTTGCTGTTTACATATGGGATTATTAACTTTGGCTCTCGTTGCTCAGGGCTGACAGTTTCCAAGCCTTGCTGCCAGTCTATTGAGAAACAGTTGGTTGCAGAATCCAGCAGAGATGCCCTTTGTCTCCCAGTGCAATGGACAGTTTTTTTAATGAATGTGTAACGACTTGGATTGAAGCTCAACTGTTGTGTTTCCTCTCTCTCCCCCCCCCCCCCCCCCACCACCCATCCAAAAACAATACTTGGTCACTTTTCCTGTTGCTGTGTTTTCAGTCCCAGCCTACTCCCAGCTCCGATCGCCCACCCAGAGACCCTAAACATGTCACTAAGCCTGATGGTGAGGCTGCGTCAGCTAAGCCCCTTGCCCTGGGCTCCTGCTCTCGCTCTCTCTCTGTTCGTGCTCTCTCTGGCGTGCTTCAGCGGCTGCAGCGCCTGGAGGAAAGGTTTGACCAGGTGACCAGCCACATTCCTGTCTCCGGCTTCTTCTCTGTCAGTCTGTGTTGCCTTCTGCGTGCTTAACCCTTTGTGCACGAAAGCCCTCTTTGGTTTTCTAAACTGCAGCTTGCACTTTGAGTAGCGCCTCTCGTGTATGATTATTGAGGGCTTATTACAAGTGCCGTGCGTATTAAGGGTTTGTTATGAGGTGCTGTATGTATTGTGAGTTATCGCTCAACTAACTTGAAACCCACAGGGATGCAACTGTTTGTGGACACTGAACTTGGGTGTTTGTTGAGTGTGGAAAACCAAACTAAAGTGTGTGCATGCAGAAACATCCGAGTGTTCGTGTGGTTTATAGTGTGCAATCGAACAAGCTATGTAAAGTGATGGGAGGAATAAGGCTGGAATATGGAGACGGTGGAAGCAGAAAGTGTCGATTCATCCAAATGCAAATTACATTTCTTTTAGAAAATAATATTTTGGGTCACAATATATGAGTAATTTGTAGTATACTTGGAAGAACCAGGTAACTTTGGGTCTAAGGTTCCCAAAGCTTTCCATTCTGTTGTAGGCTAATCCATACAGAATGAATTGTTTATCAACATCTCCTTATTGTAGCATATGGTTACCAAGATGGTAGAAAGTGAAATAAATGGAATGTGGTCTATTTTTGTCTAGCGATTCCTAGTTCTTTCATTCCTATATTGGTTCCCAAGCGCGTGCCTTTCCTCGAGTGTTCCCCTTTGCACGTGGGTCTTTATGAGTACAAACTAATGCCCTTATATAGGAATGTAGGAACAGGAGTAGACCATTCAGCCCCTCAAGCCTGTTCTGCTATTCTATAAGATCATGGGGCACTTGACTCCATTTACCCGCCTTTGCTCCATATTGATAATAATAATAATCCTTGCATTTGATATAGCACTTTTCACGTCTTCTAGACGTCCCAAAGTGCTTCACAGAATATACTGTAAAGTGAATTGACTGTATATTTGTGGGCGAACGCGACAGCCAATTGCGCACAGCAATGTCCCACAAACAGTCATGGATTAAAAATGAGCAATTTATTATTGTTTTGTTTTGGAGGGATTATTATTAGGTGTGTGGAGTAAGGAAATTTGCCCAAGGTCTCCCCCTTCCTGGAATTGAGCTCAGGTCTCGCACTTGCAAGGCGAGTGCTCTAACCACTGAGCTACAGGACTCCACCTTACCTAACAAAAATCTATCGAATAAAAATCCTTTTCGCTGTGATGTGCTAACTTTTCTCTTCTTTTCCTTGCCTGTAACTTTCTTCCTTTCCAAATTTCGCTGTGTAGAGGAAGGCGAGGTCCCTAACACAAAGTGATGTCCCTTTTAGCAGAAGGAGCATAAAGGAGAGAGCAGCTCATCTCACGGCATTGTTTGGGGGCAGGTCCCTCAGCCAACAGGTGTGTGTGCGAGTGAGCATGTGAGTCTTGCTTTAAACCTTTGTCACAAGCTGGATTTGCAAACTCTTGTAAAACAGGGATGTCCAGGGCAGTAGAGCAGGTTTGTGCTGCACTGAATGTTTTGCTTTGCAGATTTCTAAAGTAATCTAGAATTTAGAGCAATGATGTCCAACCCATCAAGAATGTTCCCACTTGTCTAGGTAAATCCTTGTTCAATCAATAGTGTGTTTCCATTTTTTTTGATTGAATATGAAGAAATATTCAATCAAGAACATTGATTTTGTTGGTGACTGAAAGGTTGTTCACCAGTGGTTTAGAGCAATACATTGCTCTCAATGTCACTTCGAGGGCTGTTCTTGTCCCAGAAGAACAAACCCCTCCTGCAGTGGGAAGACATCAGACAATGATCAATAAACCAGAGCCATTGGCCACAATCTCTTTGTGCGTGAGACTGATCCCAAAGTTTGTAATGCGGTAATCTCTGCTTGTTTGCTTCTTGTCCCTACATTTCACTTTGTTGCACCACTTCTAATAATATTTCTTTCTTAAATCCCTTCTTCCCCCTGATTCACCAATGTTGCCTCCTAACAGCTGCCTGTGTCTGGCCCAAACACATCTCATTCTTCCTCCAACACTTTTCGTTCCACTCATGACTCAGCTATGGTTTCCTCTCCAGTCTCTGCTCTGGCTCCTGCTCCTCACGCACAGGTATTGGCTGCCTGGCATTGAGCCGTATCATGCACATTTCAATCTTTGTTTCCATTCCGTGCTGTATATGAGGGGTGAGTGGGAGGGAGGGAGAAACAATGTTAGATGGTAATATCTTAGCTGGTTATTAATGGCAACAAGCACATATTTTGTGTTGTGTTCATTGGACATCAAAACGTTACTTAAAATATTACTAATAAACCTTGTGTTTAGCATTGGCCTTTACGTGCGTAGGGTGTCTCAATGCGCTTCACAGAATTCACTGTAAAGTGTAGTGACTACTTTGGACTAACGATTAATAATCAATATCTTTTTTTATCTTTCCTCTCACTTCCATTCTCCTACTCTCTCCCCCCTCTCTATCTCTCTCTCTATCTCTCTATCCCTCTCGTTCTCTGTCCTGCTGTGGGATGACCCTTTGAGATCAGATGGATGAGGTAAAGATCACTGCCAGCAAATTAGAAAAGATGCTTTTAGACCGAAAGGACCAGCAAGTTAGTCAGATGAAAAATGGAAATGTGGTGAGTGTCCAGTGTGTACCAAGGTCTCTCATCATCCAATAAAGTCACAGCCAAGCGTAGGTATACATTTATCCAGAGTTAACAGATTGTTAAAAGGAAATACAGAAAAGATGGCATGAAATGGGTTGGGCAAATTTAATGAGTCAGTAACTAAAATATAATCATAATAATCCTTGCATTTGATACAGCGCCTCTCATGTCAGGAAGACATCTCAAAGTGCTTCACAAGATTTACTGTAAAGTGTAGTGACTGTGAGGTTTTTGGGGGGAAGGAAGCATTGCACAGAGCAACGTCCCACAAACCTCTTCTCTCTTACCTACTAGGCATTCCCACACTCTGTCTCTCCTCCTTTGCTCTGCCACTCGGGCAACCCTCCAGCTTGTCAGCCTCGTCCTGCTCACCTGCCCTGTCACAGCCAGGTACTCTCGCCTGAGGGGACAATCTCTGCATGTTGTTCAGCAACGGAGCATGAACTGATGGCACCGCCTTATATTCTTCCTTGTTAACATTGTACAGTTCCCCCCCATCCCCCAACACGCCCACATCCCGTCAGTCTTCACACTTTTAAAGCAATGGGCAGGACCTGGAGGGTGTGTGGTGGGGGGCATGGCAGGGTGTGTGGTGGGGTGGGGGGGCAGGGTGTGTGGTGGGGTGGGGGGGCAGGGTGTGTGGTGGGGGGGCAGGGTGTGTGGTGGGGGGGCAGGGTGTGTGGTGGGGGGGCAGGGTGTGTGGTGGGGGGCAGGGTGTGTGGTGGGGGGGCAGGGTGTGTGGTGGGGGGGCAGGGTGTGTGGTGGGGTGGCATGGCAGGGTGTGTGGTGGGGGGGCATGGCAGGGGGTGGGTGTGGGTGGGTGGGGTGAGAGGTTTGGAAGTTGGTCCATTGTTAAGATGGAATGATTGCTGTTGGTTCCCTCGTTTGGTCTGAAACAAACGGAAATATTCATCTGTTTAGATTTATCGGTGCCCCTAACGTGCCGAGACCGGGTTCCATTCCCCCCCATACGCCCCTCCTCCCCCTCCCCTCAGCCCCTTCTCCCCCTCCCCTCAGCCCCTTCTCCCCCTCCCCTCAGCCCCTCCTCCCCCTCCCCTCAGCCCCTTCTCCCCCTCCCCTCAGCCCCTCCTCCCAACCGGTTCCGTGGGGGTTCCGTCGGGATTGCAGAGGGTTAAACCCGTCTCGGGATAATGTGGTCTCAGATCGAATTGTGTCGAAAGGTTTTCAAAAGCTCGAGTTCGAAATGTGCAAAACTTCGTGATTACTTGTGTTAATTATCGCTCATCTCTCTCCGCTTTCTGCTCTCTATCATATTCCTCCGGACCCGCTGCAGGTAATCGCGAGGCAGTCAGTCCCCTGTCCTCCGCTCCTCTCTGATCTTCACTCCTCTTCTGTCTCTCTCTGTCTCTGTCTCTCTCTCTCTCCTCTCTCTGCGATAGATGACGGTGGGGAAAGTATCAGCTGTGATTGGGGCAATGGCTGAAGTGCTTGTGACTCTTTATCAGAATGATCACAGACCTAAACCAGACACAGCCCCACCGGATCGGGTGAGCAATAACCGCAGAGCATCTGCACAGTGATCAGTGGCGCACACCCCCCACCGCCCCACCGCCCCCCACCCACATCCTGGCGGCTGATTGTAGAGATAATCACAGCGTCAGTCAGTGGTCTGAAGCTTACACTTTCATACAAAGCTTGAGAAAGTGTGTGGGGGGGAGAGTGTGTGTGGGGGGGGGAGTGTCTATTCTGATATTATGCTGCACCATTAGAAAAAAACACATTTGTATTCTCTCTCTGTGTGTGTCTGTCTCTCTCTGTCTGTCTGTGTGTGGGTCACTCTGTGTGTGTGTGTCACTCTCTGTGTCTATGTGTCTCTCTCTCTCTCTCTGTGTGTGTGTGTGTGTGTCACTCTCTCTGTGTCACTCTGTGTCTGTGTGTGTGTGTGAAACTCTCTCTGTGTCACTCTCTGTCTTCCTTAAAATACTATATATTAATATAGAGAAAGGTTAGTTTCTTCAAAAGTGACCTTAGCAACAAATAGATAATAGTGTTGATGTAGCATCTTCCAAGGCAGGATATCTCCCAAGTGCTTTACAAGGTTTAGCGTAAAGTGTAGTGACTGTATTTTGCAGACGAACACAGCAGCCAGTTTGCAAACAGCAACATCCCGCAAACAGCCGTGAAGCGAATGACAGTTTTTTTTATACACAATATATATCCCTCTGTGGGTGATTGTCGGACCAGGAAAGTGGGAGAAAACTCCATAGAACCAGAGCAATTTACAGCACAGAGAACCCACCATGTCTCACTGGTTGTGTTGAAGAGCAATCCTCCTGGCTGTTAGCAGACCCATGGGATCAGTGTAACGTCTCGCTTGGTGTCTCTCTCACAGGCGTCGCTGAGGAAAGAGTTTCCGCAGAACCTCGGGGGCAGCGACGTGTGTTACTTCTGTAACAAACGTGTTTATGTCATGGAGAGGCTCAGCGCGGACGGCAAGTTCTTTCACAGAGAATGTTTCAAGTGCGAGTTCTGCCAAACCACTCTGCGCCTGGGAGCCTACGCCTTCAGCCTGGAGGAAGGTAACTGCCCCGCGCCCCTCCGTCATGGTCAAGCCCTGCCCCTCGTGCCGGCCCCTGCCCCGGCCCCTGCCCCGTGTGATGACCCACTGGTTGTTGTTGACTCTATTTGTCTGATCTCTTTGCTCAGGGAAGTTTTACTGCAAACCTCACTTTGCTCACTGTAAATCCAATAACAAACTGAGGAAGAGACGAGCGGATTTCCCTGTATCCTCGCGCACAAAGGTGAGTGTTGGCTGGACCAGCAGCCTCTGCCTCGGGCTATGATGGGAGGGTGGGTGTCTGGAACGCTGAGGTCAAATAGGCCAAAGAGTCTCATTCATCCAAACCTCTGTTTCTGTGCCATGGCTCGGAATAATAATAATAATCCTTGCATTTGAGATTGCATCTGGCATCTAAACGTATCAATGTGCTTCACAGATACTTGCAGTAAAGTGACTGTGTATGTGTAGGTGACAGCAAGTCCGGCTCACCCCAATGTCCGGCTCACCCCAATGTCCAGTTTTTCTATCTGAACAAGTATTGGCCAGGACAGCGAGAGAGAGAGACAAAAACTCCCTTCTGATTCTGAATAACCAGGGCAGACAGCGGCACCTGGTCTCACCTGAAGGCCAGCACCTCTGACAATGCAGCTTTGTATTGGAGCGTCTGCCTGGATTATGTATATTCAAAGTCCTGCCACTGGGCTCGATCTCACCACCTTCTGACTCGGACGTGACAGAGCTGCCTACCTGAGCCAGGCTGACATTGCTATTTTACCGTGAATCCGCAGAGTAATTTCTCCGCTTTGATCCAGCGCTTGTGTGACTTGAGTACAAATTATGTTCTTTTTCAGAGTGAAGCATCATCACTGAGCGAAGCGGGCCCTCAGGCCTTGAGCAGCGCAACGAGCACGCCCACTGTCAATGGTGGCTCTCAGGTCGCCCCAGGTATCATTGCTTCCTTCTCTAGGAACCTTGTAAGCTGGCCCCTGTGTGTGGTGGGGGCTGTGCTCCGGATGCCCAAGCGGTTGTGTAACTGGGTGCATGGTGTGGTGCACACTGCCAGGCAGCATTTGAGGGACAATGCTCACAACTACGCCTATCTGTTTGAGTTGCTGAGTCTAAGTTTGCCGTTGCTCTACATGCAGTTTGAGGTTCTCACCCACATGTCCCAGGAAGCAGGGCAACCATCGCTAGATATTCTAATCGATTGGTGGCAAAAGGTCTTGGAGATGGGGTTACATTCAATTGAATTGATTTGAATTGATTGTACGTACCTGCATGTCAGGGTCACGGATTAAGCTTCCACAGGAGCTGACAATGTCAGGCCACAAGGCAACAGGTATTGACCTTATTTATTTTTGAAGAAAAAAAATGCAGTATTTTTTGCAGTGCAAATAAGCAATGAAATCGCTTCTCGGTACAAAAAGAGTTTATGCAATGTAGACTTTCAACCACAAGCAATGACAAATTGGGCTCTATAGCTCCAAACATTGCTGAAATTTCCAACTTTTTACATTTAGTCGTTGGTTTTTGTAACATTTGCTTAAACGTGTTTACATTTTTTTAATAAATCTAGTTTTTTTTTAAAAAAGAGAAGACAGAAAAGGTTTGTGTGGAATATTTTATTCCACAAATTTAAAATGACATTTTAAAAAAGAAACATTCAATACGCATAATTCTTTTTCTTCCCCCCATAGATTTTTTTAACAACCTGTGAAGTTGTTTGAATGCAAATTTGTGGAGTCCTGTAGCATATTGGTTAGAACGTTCACTTTACAAACAGGTGGACCTGGGTTTGATTCCCGGGCAGGGCGAAACCTTAGGCAAGTTTCCTTACTCCACACGCCACTGTTTACTAGCAGTAAGTAGGAACCCGGTTGTTAGTTGATCACTTTCCGGGGTAATAATCCCTTCAAAAATAATAATTTGGTCACTGAATCCACAACTGTTTGTTGGATACTGCTCAGCGCAATTGGCTGCTGCATTTTGCACACAAGATATACATTTAACTCATTTACAGTATATTCTGAAAAGCGCTTTGAGACGTCTCAATGACGTGACAAGGTGGTATATCAAATGCAAGTATTATTATTTGTGCTGCACAGTGCTTAGCAGCACAGAGCAGTCTGATCATTATAAGAAAACTCCCCAGAAGTTCCCTCTAATCTCCTTCCAACTCGAGATTAGCCAAGTGTGTGATCTGACTGACCCCAGACACAGACACTGTCTGACTCCTTTGTGACATTTACTACAATTTCTGTATTACATCTTTCTTTCCCCCAAAAAACCCGAAGTTGTGACCATTCTAATATTGTTAAAACAATTTTAATATGGGGTGAAAATGCAATATGTGATCATTATGATTCCCCTCGCCCGCCCCCTCCATTCCCCTACAGCTGCCCAACAAACTCAGGCATGTGTGTTTATGTTGGGGTGCAGTGTTGTGGGTGAGGGCTCTGGGAGAATGGGGGAGTTAGTGACTCCCTTTCCCACCCTCGCCGTCTGAGTCGGTCAATAACCCTTTTGGTCCCCAACTTTCATCAAAGTGATAACTCGCATCACGTATCGCATTTTCCCACCCGTTCTGTGTCTGTGACACTGTAAATGTTGTATCGTTCCCTTGTGCCTTTTACTTTGGTCCCTTTACCAGCCGAATGTGGAGGTTTGTGCAATTGTTTTGTAATGTATTGTGTTGCAAGTTGTCTTCCAGAGTTTTTCCCCCTCCCTGAATCCTGCCAATAAGGCTACTTGATCAGTATTGATACTCATGCAAGTCAAATGACAAAATTCTTATACTTTGTTTACGAGAGATTGTGGTCCTTAAACATGTCAGGTGAAAAAAAAGCACTGGATTATACACTCTGTTAATGTAAGAGAATGAGATGGACCTTTGAATTGGACTGCTGTTGAGTCCTTTAGTTGAAATCTTTTTTTTAAAAATATAATATTTTGGTCACTTAATCCACGACTGTTTGTGGGACACTGCTGTGTGCACGGACTGCCATGTTTAGCCCACAAAATATACAGTTAATTGACTTTACACTATCTTCTGTGAAGCGATTTGAGACGTCTCAAAGACGTGATAAGACGCTATATTAAATGCAAGGATTATTGTTATTATCATTAAATCAGTGCGGATTCAACTTTTATCTGGATTTTCTTTAAAAGGTGACAATTGAATCCACACCAATGAAACATTACACTTCCCGGAGCTGCTGTTGGGTTTGATTTTAATCATTGATAACCTTTTGTTTAAAAAAAACAAGAGCATTGTTAAGTAACTGAGATCTCATTCAGTTTTCCTTAATATCTCCCTCTCTCTTACTATCCCTTTCTGTCTTCCTTTTCTTATTGCTTGTAGTTTACTTCAGTCTCTCAGCCTTGTCCAACAACAACTTCAACAACTTACATTTATATTTCCCTCTGGGTTTAAAAAGCCTACTGCTCTCTGGTGACTGATCTGCTTGCCTTTATGTGTGTGGAAAATGTGTGGCTTGTGGCTAAATAACCTGTGTGAATGCATTGAGCGATTGCTGTGTTGTGGAGCTAATGCATGGATATATGAATTTCCTGACTCTTAAACAAGAGCTTCTTTGCTCTCCTCTTGAATGTAGAAAAGCAGGATAAATGTGTGTGAGGATAGATCAATTTTTTTGTAATTTCGCTAGACCAGGAGCCCCCCCAAAAAACTATATGTCTAAGAGCCATTTAATGTTCTCTAATGCCGCTGTGCCAGTCAGTATATGAGAAGTGCGTCTGAACATTTTCAGCGGATTCTCTGAATGTTTTATTCAAAGACTGCACGAGAGGTTATGCTTTTCCTTTCTTCTGGGAGTCCATGCTAGATTCGATCGATCTTCATTTTTATATATATTATATATGTTAGTTATGGTTCAAATCTAAAAGAGAGAGGTTCAAATCTTAGAGTATGAGTTTTCCAGCGATAATAATCCCTCCAAAAAAATGCAGTCACGCAATCCACGACTGTTTGTGAGACACAGCTGTGCGCAATTGGCTGCCGTGTTTCGCTCACAAAATACCCAGTCAATTCACTTTACAGAATATTTTGTGAAGCACTTTGAGAAGTTTCAATGATGTGATATCAAAAACAAGGATTATTATAAAAACAAACTTTAGATTCTGATTGTTTAGTGTTTTGGTCAGTGTTGGTTCTAACACGTGCGTAAAATCATCGCTATGTTTAAGAGTATCCAAACCAGACAGATGTCTGAATGTAGAAATAGATACTTTGCCCATCTTTTGCTTTATTCCCTCCCTCTTCCATTTGGATGAAGGTTTTACTTTTTGAGCATTTGTACAAGTTGCTGTGCTACGTAAAACTTTCTCAGTTAGCTGGGAGTTTGCGTACCTTATACTGACAAAGTCTCTTACTTTGCCATACAGTGTAGGGCCAACAAACCTGGCACACAAAATACGTGAGAGAAAAAAAAGGAGAGATTGTTCTGTAGGATTTATTGTAAGGAATGTTTAACAGCCGATTTACTAACTTAAACTAATGTACTAACAGTACATGCGTTTCGCAACATTTCCTTTAATGATGTACTAATGCAGCAACTGCATGCTCTGGAAAAAGCAAACTTGATTGAAATGAAAAGTGCTTAAAAGTTCCAGCAGCTATATATTTCTTTATTATATCTTCTGTTACAGAGTCCGCTTACCTTTAAGAATGAGAATCGAGGAATATTTATCCCCATTTCATTTCACCCTAAAGTGTTGTAATGTTAATGGAAGTTCATAATTTCACCCAAGTTTGCAGTTGTGCAAATATATGTAAATCCGTCAAAAAAAAAAGTGTATTTAAAACGTACTACATATACGGTCCTGTGTTTTTGCACACAATGAACCATGTCATTCAAGCATTATTTATGATACCAAAGGCTGTAAGCAAATAATAAATGGAATAGTTGCTTTGTGAAGTACTCTGTTTCTTTCTTTTTCTTTCCTTATGAGTTTGTTCTTCTGTGGGTTTATCTAAGATGTAAGTTCAACACGAGAATTGGTGCTTTATCAACTTGCCTTAATGTGGTCGCAGCCTTGGGTTAGGAAACCATTATAGGGTGCAGAACCTTCAGTTGTGACTTGATGTAACTTGCCCACTTAAACAAATATTTTAGAGGTATACAAATAGCTTATTCTCTTTGTTTGTGAAGACAAAGGACCGGTTCATTAGCTCATTGGGAATGAGATGCAGAGGAATTCCCAAATTAACAATGAATTCTGTCTCGCCTTCCCTCCGCACTCCTCACCATTATCCTTTGCCTGTCTTCAGCTGCTGAGAGGATAGCAAGACAGAAACCCATTGAGTATATACATGGGTCCCTCTGCTTTGGTGGCGAGGGGATAGGAGGTGGGGTGGGATGGTCGAAGAGAGCTGAGCATCTGCTTTTCACTGAACGAGTGGGCTCTATTTTTGGAATCCTTGCTTCGCCTCTGTGTCTGGCTGCCTGGAGTTGCAGAGATAGGATCCCTGTCTTGTATTCATTACAGTAGGTGGCAGAATATATAGTGTAACCTGATCATCCAAGTCACTGAGCTAAAAACCTCACACGTATTCCCTGCCTCAAAATCAAATCAAAATGCAATTGGGCAGAGGGTGGGAGAGAGAGAGAGGCCTAATTGTCCTTTGCCTAACAGCTTAGCTGACCCTACCTAAACCAATTACCAACCTTGGGAAGTGAATAGCTCTATCCCTGTCCTATTTGGTCCGGCATGTGCTGCCCTGGTAAAAGACTGATTTGGTTTAGACCAATATGTGAACTTATATTGTCCATCATATCGAGCACACAGAGTGTTTGTCTCTGGCATCGATCGCTGAGATGGTGTAAATGATCACATCATCCGTGCGCTGTTTAATATGTAAATCCAAATGTTATTGAGTCACAACTGAATCTAGGCCAAGTGAAGGTGAGGGTCACTCTTGTGACTATTGCAAATTTGTGTTAACTTACGTCTTCTAACAGTTACTCCTTTTGTTACTGAGGTGCATTAATTCCTTTCCTCCTGGTTCCGGCAAACTCACATGGTGTTCTTACTCTGCATAATGTACCTTAAACCAATGCCTCCGACGCGGACTTGGGGAATTTCACACAGTTTCAAATCTCTTTTGCCAATTCAGATGCTTTTCAGGCTCTGCCGAGCCAGTGGGTGCCTTGATGGTGAATTCAATTCAATACTGTGGGGGCAAACCAACTTAAAATAAGGGAAAATGTAAGGTGTGGACAACATTGCTGTATTTCTTAACGGATATCTTATATCTTGTGTTTTGCCCACCAAATATACAGTCAATTCACTTTATAGTATATTCTGTGAAGTGCTTTGAGACGTCTCCATTACATGATAAGGCGCTATATCAAATTGAAGGATTACTATTATCCCCTTTTTTTTTGCTCTATTTTGGAAACTTTCAAATCTCTCAAATTCTAAGGAGCCAGTGTCATTCAATTCCACTTTCTTATTCTAAGTAGCATTCAACTAACTGATGTTAGTGTTTGTTCTCTTGCTGTGAGACCTCAATAGCAAAAGGTAAGCTAGGGAGCTGGAGAATAATAAGGGCTCCAGCCCCTATATATATAGGCATAACTTATTCAGGCTGGTTACATTAATTTTCTCCTTCAAGGGGGTACATCACAAAACCACAAGAGAGGTTCGGAGAAAGAAGGGCCTTTGGCCCATTTGATCCCATCCCATTCAGAACCCCCTCCCCCCTTGCCTTCCCACTCTTCCCCACCCCTGTACTCCGTGCCCCATGCTCTCTCAGCCCTGTGCCAGCAACTACAAGAGCAGTTCAGCAGAACTGTAACCATATTCTTGGCCAGTGGCTTTGCTGCCTGTTCGGCCCTTGTTGTATATCTGTCAGACACGTCCCACCTCTTGGTTCCACTCCAGCAGCCGCTGATGGTCATGTTCCGGGTCTGATGGACCACGAACTTGTACTTATAAAGTTCCCATCGCGCAGGTTGGAGTCTCAGAGCCCTGTACTGCAATTTGATACAGTGGCCGAGATCAACTCCGCCAGCCTTATCTCTCTCCATAATTCCTCGTGTTTTAGCTGGAGAGGGCCAGGTGTTGTTTTTGGCCTGAATGTAGCAGATTCCTCTTGTGGTGACTCATGTGGTGCTAGACACCAGCAGCATTCCTTGTCCACCCACTACACTGAGCTGAGATCATTCCAGGAAGATGGGATGAAGTCATCACTTTAGACGGATATCCTGTCAGGGTTAGATTGCCCCAACCCCCATCCCCATCCCCCATCCCCAACCCCCTTTATCCTGAAAGGACAGACAGCTCATTTCCATTTGACAATCTACCCATTCCAGACATTCTGTCTGCTGGAGGCAGGCACACACACGTACCTCTATTGCCAACAATGCTGAATGTTTTTTTAGATATAATATTCAGTCAGGCAGTGCGTGTTTAGCTACTATCTTGACGTTTATGTAACTGATAAAAAGCAATCGCAAAAGGTTCTGGTCCCTTTTGTTCAGCTCTTAATATTTGCATTAACTTCTGACGATTAGCTTCATGTACCATCATTGTCTAACTCGCTCCTCCTGCTTTCTCCCTTCAACTCAGGAGCCTTTTCTGCTGTGTGTACGTGTGTCTGTGTGTTTCAGACTGTGTGTGTGTGTGTGTGTGTGTTTATGTTACAGACTTTCTCTGTGTGTGTGTGTGTCGTATTACCAAGCGCACACTCAGTCAGGTTCTGACAGCGCATTTGGGCGAGATGCAAATTGGATTTAAATCAATTCTCCAATATCACAGGATTGGTTTGGATGAAGAAGGCCCTTTGGGTCATCTGATCTCATCCTTCTATTTCACAGCAGAAACACCACCAATAGTAGGTTAGGAAGCTGGCAAGGCATCTCTCACCCACCCTTTTTTTTGCACTATTGTGTATTTCGTTTTACCGACAAAATACACACTTTACAGTATATCCTGTGAAGCGCTTTGAGACATCTGTACCATGTGATAGGGCTCTATATCAAATGCAAGGATTATTATTATGCAGAGGGGAATTCTAGGCAAATAACTGATGTCAGTGTTGGTACCTTGTAGCCAAACCATTTGACTTGTGTTCAGGTGCAATGGGTCCACAGTGTTACTGCTACCTGATCAAGAATGACAGCTGCCCTCCCCCCACCCCAACCCCGAGACAGGTCTCAAACCAGTGAATACACACAGAGAGATTAGGCCGTCATGTATGGGCACAGTTGTCCAGTCTGCACGCTGTTCCTGGGCAGCCTGGCTCCTTATCTGCCTCTTGTAACTGGTCATATGTTATACCACATAAAGTCAGAGTGCTAAGTAATGCTTTTGCTCCCCTCCCTCGGTGTGGGGGAGAGGAGGGTGAGATGTTATTTCCTACATCACATTCCTTCATTCAGTGCTTCGAGACGTTCACTGGCAGAAAAAGATGCTTTATGTAAATTAGTGCTTGTTCTTTTCCCGTCTCCACAAGCCTTGAGCTGTGCATGTCCCAGTTATGTCTGTCTTCCTTCTGTCATTCACACCCATGTTCTGTGTCAGTGAAAGGCAATATCTATTAGTGGTATCAGTGCTGACAGTGAATGGGGAACCAGCCCTCAATGGTGAAGTCATTCTCTCGTTGGATTAGTCACGTCTCTTTGTCATAAAGCAGAAGCACACTACCTGAAGCGATTGCTGTGAATTACTCCTGTCTTTTATCTTCACTAAAGATTACTTTTATTTACAAAAAACTCGTATCTGTTAGTAGAAGAAATCACAGTTAATATCCCAGTCCTCCCTCCCTCCCATGGCTGGTGTGGACTGTAAACACCAGCATGGACCTAGTTGGGCTGAATGGCCTATTTCCATGCAGTTTGACTTTATGTAAATCTATGGCTTCAGCCAGACATCTGGTCAGCAGGTACTGACTGACACTAACATACAATGGGAGCTTGGCATCCTTCCTCAATGCTGTATATAGCCAGGAATTGGCATTCACTCTCGGATACAGGGATGGCTGTGCACTCAATTGCTGGGGGGAGGGGGAAGAGAATGGTGGGGGCAGAGGAGAGGGAGATGGTAGGGGGTGGGGGGAGAGGGATGAGTAGAAGGAGTTGTTAATCTGTAAATTGTGTCAATGATGGTCTTCAGTGACTGAGATGGAGACTGATGGACATCAGTCGAGTCTGGATCATTGATACTGGGCAAGTTCTCTCTTTAACGACAATCCAGTGACGCAGAGAAGAGAAATTGGTTGAATAACCTCTCCTCTGCTCTTCCCAACATCTCAAATCACAAGCCCCTTCCCAGGAAAACACACCAGAACATGTAACGGTCTGACAATCTGCGAGCTTCTGTCAGTTGAACACCAGAGAAAAACAGGAATGTTGTGAGCCATTGTTGCCACCCCCCCCCGCAAGTCACCCTCTCCCCTCCAGCGCTGGAGGTCAGACAGCTTGTGATCTAATGACGAGCTTGTTATTTGTCATTCTTCCTACAGCTTCTCCTGTCCTGTCTGAAATATCGGGTCAAAAAAAGACTAAGTGTGAACCTGTCGGCTTTACCCGAGGAGAAGGAATCCACTCGCCCCAGAGACGAGAGGGTCAAGATGTGGCTGTCAAGGAGGCGGAGACTGAGCGTAACCTCCTGGCTATTCGTGTCATGGTGATGAGCGATGCAAGCAGGTAGCTGAGGTGGGGGAGTGGGGAGAGCTGGGGGTGGGGGGGTCTAACATGGATTGATTTCAATTGAGACTTAATTTATTAATTAATAAATTAGTTAATAATAATTAATGGGATTCTGAACATGGAAACTGAAAGTGGGAGAGATGGCCATCCAGTGACTGAAACCTTTACCACAGGTGAGAATTGATCGCAACAAGCCTCGTGCTGCTGCCTCTGTCCTTGGCTCTGCTCACAAGTCGCGCCTCCCTCTGCCTCACAAACAATGCTGTTGGGGTCTAACTGGCAAATATGCAGCCAAGCGACAGGGCCATCCTGTGGGTTAATCCTGTGGTCAGTAAAGTTGCGCCTCTGCACCTGCTCTTGAAATGTCAACTGTGGTACTGTGGTGAAGCCTGAGAAGCTGCTGATTGAAATTGCAAAGTAAAGGCACCTTCCAATGTCTCTCTGCTTCCTCTGAGCAGCTCTGAAGGTGAGGGAGAACATGACGTCAGGGACACCAGGTTGGAACGAAGCCCTCCCCCCACTGCTGGTCTGTCCTCACCCGGGGCCAGAGGCAATGGGTCGCGACCGTCACTGGACAAAGATGAGAAGCAGCCGAGTGAGAGCAGCTCAGAGTCCAAGGCCTACAAAGGTAGGAGATTTGTCTGCTCGCTCAGGACTGGATGATAGTTTTTGGCTGGAATGTCTCTGTGGCTCTTTGAACACAAACATTATCTCATCTAATTGCTTCTCTTAGGTCAACTCTGGTTTACAGATAACATAAATCCAGCTGACTCTTCATTTCTCAAACCTATTTGTTAACTGTAACCAAAGTCTTAGTCTGTGAAAGTGGGGGAATTGGAGGTGACCACAACACATTCTGTAGCTTCTAATCCACTGGAATCTAAAGGTCAGCGACAGTCCAGTGACTGATCTCAGGTGTGTTCAGGGTTATTACTCTGTCTCCTGCCATGTCTTGCTCTGGTAGCACAAGATGTCAGAACCACTTAATAATAATAATCCTTGCATTTTATATAGTGCCTTATTACATTGTTGAGACATCTCAAAGCGCTTCACAGGATACACTGTAAAGAGCACCATATTTTGTGGCTGAAACAGAAACATAGCAAAACATTGCTGTGCAAAATATACACAGACAGCCGGGTAGTGAATGACCAATTTTATTTAAGAGATTATTGTCCAGGACATCTGGGAGAGAAACTCCCTTCTCTTTTTGAATTAGTGCCATGGGATCTTTCACATCCACCTGAACAGGCAGATGGGACATTGGTTTAATGTCTCATCCACAGGACTTCACAGGATCAGTGTCAGATGCCGAGCAAGGGAGAAGGGGAGGAAGGTGATCGTGAGCACAAATGTAAAGTTTATTATTACCTTTAGTCAGCAAGTTACTTTGGTCAATGTAAGTTCACTCCTTCAGGGAAGACGCAATAACCTGAAACTGGGTGATGAGATGTTGAGAAGTTTGGGTTTATTTGCTTTGTTAATAGGAACTTTGATAGCACCAGGTGATGAAGGATCTCCCTGCCAACATAGTCACCATTCTACAACATATTTTCAACATTTTTTTTTCTTTCCCCATTTAAATTGCAGCAGCTTTGAAAATACTGGACAAGGCAGCTTGAGGGTCTCTGCTGTGCACAAACTGGCTGCCACAATCAGCTGCAAAACGTACATTCACTACGCTTTACTATGATGCTCTTTGAGATGTCTCCATGACATGATACGGCTCTGTGTCAAATGCAAGGATTATTACTGTCATTATCTTCAATTTTGTAGAACTCAAAAATATTTTATGAGCTCTAGCGTCCTCTCGTGGCATGTCTAAGCCATGGCTAATCCAGCATTTGGCTGTTTCTTTTTAACTTGAGTGAAGATTTACTGATCGATAGTAAAGATGGGAGCTGTTGATGTACAGCAGTTTGATGATGTTTGCTGAATGTTTGACACATGTTTCTCTGTGGGCCAGCACTGAATCGTGCCAACAGTTTTCACGAGCCGGCAATGAACAGACAAAACAAATGGAGGCAAAAACTTCAAAACAGTTAAGTTCTCATTGTACTCGTTTTTGTGTGGGATCTCTGTTCAGTTCTTGTTAAAACCTTGTTACGTCCTTCAACCCAGTGCCGTCTCACTTCTAAGGCTGGAAGGTAACCTTATGATGTCAAAGCCTAAAACAACAACCTCTGTGACCTGCTAACTCCATATAGACCTCTGGCCCTGGCTCCATGTTCCCCACTAACCCCCCCGGCCCACCCCACCATTAACACTCTCATTATTGCAGGTATATGTCAGTGGGTTAGGTTGCACATCGCACTACAGCAAAGAGACAAATGGGCAACTGCAGTGATTTGGGTCATTTGTTATCGGTGGGTCAGAGTGTCAGTGGGTCAGAGTGTCAATGGGTCAGAGGGTCAGTGGGGGGAGCTTTATGTCAACGCTCTCCGTCGCATTCCTTCAGAAAACAGGTTTGCCATAACAAGAGAGATGTGGCTTCAGAGGGACCTTTAGAGAGATGCCATCGATGCCAATACAGATTGAGCTGGCTGCTGTGATGCACTGATATGCCTGTAGAGGGCGCAGGAGGGTTGGGTGTCGGGGGCCCAGGGTACGGGGTGGGGGCTGTGGGTGAAATTGTAGCTTTTACAAGCAGAAGGTGTGGAGTTAATTGTGGCTTCTGTTTCACAGCTGAGATGTCTCCCCCCCAACCCCCCCCCATCCACTCCCTAACTCACGGGGAAAGATTGTCAAAAAATCTTGATCCTAAAGCTCCTTTTCAGTCCTGTTGTTCCTGTTCAGGTGGATGTTAAAGATCCCACGGACCTATTCGAACAGAGAAAGGGAGTTTCTCTTCTCCCTCCCGGTGTCCTGGCCAACAATCCTCCGTAATAATATGGGTCACTCACTCCATGTGTGCAATTGTGCTGCTGTGTTTCACCCACAGAATACACAATCACTCCGGTTTTAAGTTGTATCTCAGTGACGGTGAACACACTGAGTGTGTAAGGGCTGTGCTGACTGTTGACTTTCTGACCGCAGAGCTACCTCTTCTGCTGCATAAGAAGACAGAGCTCCCCTCACAGCACATCGTTGCTAATGGACTTAACCCCATGGACAAGGACTGTGAAGAGCAGGTATGTCAACCCGGTTACTGCCGGCTTCACGTGGATCAGATCTCAGTGCTGTGGACGGTGCTGAGGCGGTGGGTGGTGAGCGCGAGAGAGGGCTCAGCCTCCCCTCTTCCCAATTCTTATCTACGGGTCACCTGTTTAAGGGGGGGCTGAAAGCCCTGAGGAGGACCACAGCCCGTCCTCCGAGCAGCCCCCACCTCACAGCCCCGCTCTCTCTTCTGTTCAGTTCCCCCCCAAAAAAAAACATTGGTCACTCAATCCACGACTGTTGTGGGGGACACTGCTGGGTGCAATTGGCTGTGTATCAACAACATACACAGTCACTACACTTTACAGTGTATTCCGTGAAGCGCTTTGAGACGTGTTAAGAAGGTGAGAAGGCCCGATATCAAACGCCAGGTTTGTTGTTGTTGTTGTTTGTTCCAGGCCTCGGCCGGTGGCTCTGACGTCACCAGGAGGAGGATTTCGTTGCCGATGATTTTCCAGCTGAGGCAGAGGTTTGCTAGGAATGTCCAGGCCAACACCGGGGCTCAGCCTCCAGCCGCGGGGAGAGAGGGTGCGGGAAGCCTGGCGATCGCCGCTGAACCTCAGTCACCGCATTCGAGTCATGTTGAGCCCGAAACACTCACGTTACACATCGGGGCCCCGCAGAGAGAGGAGCCGGTAACGGACATTGGGAGCCATCCCCTGAGAGACACCGGGTCCACAGAGCGTCTGGGAGCAAGTCACGTCTGTGGGGACACAAGGGGGGCGAGGGGGGAGCAGGACCCCGAGGGGTCTCTCTACTTTGCGAGGTACGAGAGGAGGAAAGGGAGTGAGTGCGAAGCGACTCCGGATGCCTTTTCCCGGCTGAACCATTTCCCCGCACAGACCCCAGCACAGGCTCCATGCACAGGGCGGGGCCCCTCCCCTGACATGGCCCCACAGCCACACGATTCTCCAAAATCCCCCAAATCACCTCTGATTCTCCTCGTCAACGCCATCCGAAGATCGTTTTTCGACAGCAGTAGCTCTGCCCCGCAGGCCTCCCCCGGGAGGAAATCAAAGACCAGGAACGTTCGGCATCTCTCGGACCCCTCACCCCCCAGCCTCTCCGCCAGAGCCAGAGCCAATCCCGGACATTGCCCAACCCCCAAACCCCTGTCCTCCTCGGCCGGGACAGGCGGGGTGGCCCAGGCTGTGCAGCCTTCCCCCTCCCCCACCTCCCTCCCCATTGGGCCTCACGTTCCCATCTACAGATCGTCAGCGGGTCCCTTCGGCCTCTGGCCCCAGGTCAGCAGCTCAGCCGAGGGGCCGCCGGTGGGAGGTGGACATCCCCGGAATATTGTGGTGGAGGGGGAGCGAAGTCTGAGTAATCTGGACCAGGTTCCCTGGAGGCAGGATCCCCCTCGAGCAGAGCCCCTGCCCGCTGCCCTAGGCAGGAGGACTAACCCCAGGTTCTGGTCACTGAGGTCAGACCAACGTGTTCCGGCTGAGGAGAAACCAGGTTCAGGTCCAGGAAATGCCTGGGCCACCAGCTCCAGGAGTGACATGTGGAAAGTTCTTGCCAACTTCGGGAAGAAGAGTTTCTGGGAGAAAGAGGTGAAAGCTTCTCTCCCAAGTGAACCGCCATCGCTCCAGATTGCCAAGAAAATAAATATACAACCTGCGGCGCACATGCCAGGTGGGTGTGTTTGTTCCTCTTGAACTAACTGTGTGTTAAGGTCAAAGCCTTAACTACATGAAACAGCTTTCACCTCATTTCTAATCCACCTCATCCCGTGTGACGGGCACTTTGTCAACACAAGCTGCTGCTGTTGATGCTGCTGTTGTTGTTGATGTCGGGAGGAGAGGGTGGGGTGAGAGCTGAAGAGAGTGGGAGGGAGAAAGATGACAGAAAGTGCTGTCAGAAAGGTACCTATGAGGTGGCCTTTAAAAGTGGGGAGGGAGGGTTTTGGGGGGCTGGTGGGGGGGGAAACCGAACTTTGGGATGGAGTTCCAGAGAGCAGGGGCAGAATGGATAAAATATTACACTCTTTAAGGAGTCCTGGTGAATAAAGTAACACACAACGTGCTAGGTTTTGTCTAGTATTGAGCTGGAAAAGCTTAGTTAAATGTCCCAACTGCTCAGTTTCACGTATTGATAACATCGTCGACTTGATGTCAGTTGGAGCAGACTCGATGGGCTGAATGGCCTTGCCCTGTTCCTCTTCTCCTGTGACTTGCTGCTAACAGGTTTCACTTGCAAACTCTTCAGGCTGTAATGTGCACAAATGATACCAATGGTAGACAATGTGGGCCTGGATTTACTCTGCACAACAGCATGTGGTTTTTTAACCTCTCATCAGGCGAGATTGGTTTTGTGTTATTGCTTTTGTATTTCCCTATATTTAAATGCAAGCGAGACTTAGTGACGCTGAATGCTTTCATTTCTGCAGATGTTAACAGTGTCAATATGGTTACCAGATGTGGCACACTGCCCCAGAGCGCTTTCCTTAAAACTCCCTCTTCCCACTGTCCAGACACTGCGTAGCCCAAAGACTGCAGATTGTGACTCCTTTGTTGGTGCTGGAAAGTCTTCATAATTATCAGCAGATCTATATAACCACAACAACTTGCACTTATAGAGCGCCTTTCACGTGGGGTAGCGTCTCAAAGTGATTAACCTATAGTTACAGCACTCGAGTAACTGGGATACTGGACTCATTTAGGAGGCAGCTTGATGCTGTGTTGGGGGGAATGTTCTGGAGGGATGAGATCAGATAGGCCGAAGGGACCTTCTTCATCCAAAGGGATTTGCCTCATGTGCAGGTCTTGTGAGCAGAGAGTCTGGGTTGTTCCGATCGGCACTGCTCACTGCATGCCTTCCGGCAACTCCACCTTGGAATGCAGAGACTTCCACAGAGAGGTCCAGCTGCTCCTCTCACAATTGTGCTTTGATCATTTCCAGGACCCGTGAAGCTCCCCCTCCCCCCAGCCTTCACTGAAGAGGAGTCAGAGTCGGAGTCCAGTGATGAGCTGGATCACAAGAGGAGCTCCTTAAACTGGAAGGTAAAGAGAGCCATCACATGTGTCAGCCACCTTCCCTTGATTGTTTGTTTATCCTCACTCACTCACTCACTCACTTGCACTCTTTTGCACTCACTCTCTCGCACTCATTTTCACACTCTCACTATTTCAGCAGAATCAAAGCATCAGACAGAGACGGAAGATGCACAAGTTAGCTCAGCAGCAAGTGAAACAGGAAGCACTGAAACGCCTGCACAGAGCACAGGTAGAGTCTGGGAGGGGATGTTATTAACCAGGTTTGGTGTGTCTGCGCATGGGGGAGCAGCATTAGAGTTTTCAGGCTTTCAGCTGAGGTAAATAAAATGTTTGTATCACGTTACTGGGAGCAAGCTGAGCCTTCACATCAATCCACCCATTGCTTTCTGTGTAGCTGAACAAGGAACCTGAATGGGTCCATTAATACAGGGCTGTGGATGAGCACTAAGTCATGTACCTGTTACGTTTTCTAACACGCTGGCACCTGCTGATCACTCGGAAGCTTGAAGCTCCGAGCTAGTGTGTGTGCTCCTTGGACACTGGTCCTATTGCTGAGCAGAGGGGTGTCTCTGTGCTGACACACCACTAGCACAATTTGTTCACTGTAACAAAAATGTGTTGAGAAAAATGATCCATTAATTTCCTCCTAAACTCACTATGGCTTCCTAGTAACCCCAAAGTGGTGCTCGGAGGCTCAAAATTTCACCTAGTCTTAGACTTGCGAGACTATTCCCCCGCCCCCAACCTCCCCACGCCTGAAATGCAAGATCGGGCAGGTCTGTAACATACTAAGACTGGGTGGGATTCCCAAGTCTATGTTTGTAAACTGGGTGCAATTAGTAGCTTGGTTCAGGTGCTCCCGCACATGTGATGGCCCTTTGATGCTCTTTCGGTAGAAACAAAATGTAGCAAAAATGTAATATGTTTGTGTGTAATGTGTGTGTAATGTGCGTGTGTGTGTGTAATGTGTGAGAGAGTCTTGTTTATTCCTGTTTTGCACCTTGAACGGTGCCTGACCGAGGATTGTCCTGACAGATTATCCAGCGGCAACTGCAGGAGGTTGAGGAGAAGCAGCGGATGCTAGAGGAGAGAGGGGTCCTGTTGGAGAAGGCGCTGCGGGATGAATCAGGTTTGTGTTCTTTATCTCTGCTCAGACACTGGCTTACGTCCCCTGAATGCTTTATGTTTCCATCCTTGGCACTGTGTGCTCTCTATAGTGCTCCCTCCCACCTATACTAATTATATTGTTTACATTCGATACAGCGCCTTTCACATCTGGAGGACATCTCAAAGTGTTTCACAGGATTTACTGTAAAACACAGCGATTGTGTATATGCCAACGCAGCAGCCAATTTGCGCACAGCAATGACCCACAGGTAGCCGTGATGTAAATGACAGATTTCATCCTTGGAGGGAGGTTGGTCAGGACATCAGGAGAAACTCCTCTTTTCGATTGGTGCCTAAGCAGGCCCTGACGAGAATTGGCCAATTCCTCTCAGGAGCAGAGTTGAGGAGTAAGCAGGAGGGTGGGATGTGATGGGTTCAATGTGTAGACAACACCATCACAAACTTGATGGCTTTTAAGAGTAAAGTTTGCGACGTTCGTAACTGATTCCCAATGTTAATCAAATTAATTATGAAACAGCGCAAAAGTTACCCTCATGTACATATAAAATTCGGTTTGATTCCCAGCAGGGTGAAACTTTGGACAAATTTTCTTACTTCACATGCCTAGTGATAATCCCTCAAGAAAAAAATAATACATTGATCACTTCAATCTATGTTTGTGGACACTGCTGTGCGCAATTGGCTGCCGCGTTTCGCCCACAAATATACAGTCAATTCACTTTACAGTACATTCTGTGAAGCCCTTTGAGACGTCTAGAAGACGTGAAAACTCTATATCAAATGCAAAGATTATTACTATTATTAAATACAAAAAGAACAATGCATTTATACAGCCTCATGACGTAGAGTTTCAGAAGGACGGCAGAAGCCAATACAAGCCAGTGAGATGGATATTCCTTCCCATTCGGCACTCCACATCTTCCCAAATGAACATAAGAAATGCTAGACGAAGAAAGACAAAGGTCCATCTAGTTCGCCTTCTATCTTCCAGGCGATTGAAAACTATTATATATATATATTAAAAAAAATTGTCGCTCAATCCATGACTGTTTGTGGGAACTGGCGCATTTCGCTCACAAAATACACTGTCAATCCACTTTAGCTGTGAAACACTTTGAGCCGTCTTAACGAAGTGATAAGGCACTATATTAAATGCAATGATTATTATTATTAAGACTGAGAAGATGGACAAATGTCCTGGCTTGAATTCACCCCTCTCAGTGATGTGATCCAAGCCAATGGAGAGAAACACAGTCATCATTGCCCCACTGTGACACTGCATAGTTAGCAGGCTTTTCACGTCAGGTTGGACAGCACATTCATTCACTCTTCAGAGATCAATTACCAGCGTTGTTTCTGTGCCCTTTCTGATAATTCTCTCGCTCCTTTCTCTGTAGCTGTAACAGTGACAGGAAGTTTCAGGGAAACCTGCATTCAACAACCACCTTTGGGACTCACTTCATCTAATTCCCTAACACAGGCTGAACTCCATCACTCCACTCTTAGGTGTTATCTCAGGACAAGAGAACTCCCTGCAGATAGTTTCTGGGTCTTTTATTTATATCTCCAGTTTTAATAGGTTTATATTTAATGTTTCACCATTGAAATCTAGGAGCATCCCATGTGCGGAATTTGACATTGAGAGAAAGTGTGGCCTTTACAATAATAATACTAATAATCAAAGCACGTTACAGGATTTACTGGAAAGTGTAGTGGCTGGGTATTTGAAGGTGAAAGCAGCATAGAAACAGGAGAAGGCCATTCAGCACCTTGAGCCTGTTTTGCCATTCTATTAGATCATGACTGATCTGTACTTCAACTCCATTTACCCGCCTTTGCCCCATATCCTATTTGCGCAGAGCAATGTTCTGCAAACAACCACAAAGTGAATGTCATTTTATTTGGGGAATTGTTGCCCAGGACTCTAGGAGAAAGCTCTATTTACAAAGTTAATCATTCCATTTTGTTTGCGTGCGGCTCCAGACTTGTAACTGGAGGAGTTTCATTTTAAATCTGGAATAACTCCCTTCCACCGTCAATCCCGTTGCCACAGTCTGGATGATTAATTGTGGTGTGCTTTGCTGATTGTGAACAGAGAAACTCAGAGAAACGTGTGCTTTGGGGCTGAACTCGGCAATGTGCATTGAGAAATCCCATTAACATGCACCGGGTCCTGATAATATAAGGTGGGCTGGTAATGAATGATGCTTTTGTTGCTTGAAATTGCTCATTAGCTGCAGAGACTGGATGAGACCAAACATGCGGAGGTGGAGAGCAATGTTCCGGAGAACCAAGGGCATGTTGAAATCGTTGCCAGATTGTAATTGTTTTATTGAATGACACAATGAGCATTTCTCCTGCTACTGCAAACGCCATGTGATCCACAGATGCATAAATGTGTAGGTGTATTGATGTTTAAACACAAAGTGCCCCTTGTGTGTGTGGGCACAGACGAGAAGTTACCTCTTTAAAGATCAGTGTTTTAGGCCATGAAGTACAGGGTCTGGTTTCAGTGATCGCTAATTATTTTACTGCAGGTTCTGAACAAGTCGTTTGAGTTCTATAAACGTACACACAAAGCTTTTTTTTGAAAAAAATGATAGTTTTGATTCAGCTGAGTTATCAGGTTGCTAGGTAGCTTTTCAGAAAGGCTTCTTTATCACTGTTGTTACGACAGTGAAACTTAATGGCCCGCAAATTGCATCAAATCCATGACTTTAATGATCTGGAGTCACTGCAGCAGCCAGTGGTATCAAGACATCAATTGTCACTGGAGGAAGAGCAGCTGACGAGTAAGGAAGCCATTGAGTGAAGTTTACTTAGATTTCCAGAAGGTCTTTGTCAAGGTACCTCATGAGAGGCTCCTCTACAGAGAAATGTGACAACTAGCCATTTTTTTAGTGTAGCTTTTGATTTTGAATTTTTTTACATACTTGAAATAATCACTTACAAAATAAAGAGTCACTATCCTGCACACACAGTTAATCATGCGAAGCGCTTTGCAATGTCCTCCTGACTATATCAAACACAAAGATTAGAATTTTTTAATCTGGAAAGTATATATGAATCAAACATGGGAATGCTAACAGGACAGAATTTTCTGATATATACATTATATATATATGCGTCCTTGAATTTTCTATTTGCATTTGATACAGAGCCTTTCAAGTCCAAGTCCTTCACAGAATTTACTGTAGAGTGTAGTGACTGTATTTTGTGGATAAACATAGCAGCCAATTCACGCACAAGAACATACGTGAATGAAGACGTGAATCCTGATCTAATGACTTATTCACTGTATTTGGGGGATTGGTGGTCAGGACACTGGGAGTAACTCCATTTACTTTTTGAATAGTGACACGGGATCTTACATGAGAAACGCACAGAATGACACAAAGCCTATGTGTGACGTCTCTGTTATTCAGACTTGTGCAATGATGGGGTGGTAACTGGCTTGTCATTCACTGTTCACCATCTCAATGTCACAGAGCTCAATGCCAAGGAGGAACCTCGACTGATGCAAAAGTGGTTCAAGCTGGTGCTGGAGAAGAATGCGTTGGTGCGCTATGAGGCTGAGCTGATGATATTGTGAGTATTGACACTATGAGCAACTTTGTGAAGTCCTGCAACTCAGTGGTTAGAGCACTCGCCTTGCAAACGAGACACCTGGGTTCAATTCCAGGCAGGTCAGGGCGAAACCTTGGGCAAGTTTCCTTACTCCACACAGAGCCTAATAATAATCCCTCCAAAACAAAACAATAATAAATTGGTCATTTTCTATCCACGACTGTTTGTGGGACACTGCTGTGTGCATTGGCTGCCGCGTTTCGCCCACAAATATACAGTCAATTTACTTTAAAGTCTATTCTGTGAAGCGCTTTGAGACGTCGAAAACACGTGAAAAGTGCTATATCAAATGCAAGGATTATTATTATATTATATTGTTTGTAGGACAGTTGGACCTTGTTTGAGAACTGATGGTATTTATAAATCTAACAGGAGACAACTAGAGGCTTGCATTCTTAGCCTTGAGATCATCATTGTAAAATTCATAATCAGGCAGACTTTTGGACAATTCTTAAGTACAACAACAAAACCAAGGTGCTGGATAGACACCCATCTTGACCCAAGAATAATAATTTCTGGGCTCCACAGAAGGACATGAACCAATTTTTATTTAATCTTCGAAGACAGGAGTCTATTTAAACACAAGGGATTTAAGGGAGATACTTCCCAGTGACAGGACCTGTCCTGCTTTACCGTTCACCTTTAATGATCTCAATTAGTGCATCAAAAATCCCAAGCTTCTGAAACAGCCCCAATGTGGAGTGTATCCTGACCTGACCTGATGCAGTGGTTTGTTTGTGCACTGTACCAGCTCTCACTCTCTGCTCATCATTGACAGTGCCCAGGAGTTGGAACTTGAAGAACAACAAAGCTCGCTGCAGCAGGTGCTCCGGGAGAGAATGGTCATCGATGGTGAGTGGATTCCTGCACATCTTCATTAAATGCTGATGGCAAACACAGTAAGAAGCGAGGGAGGATAAGTCTCCACCCACTCTGTTTTTATAGGCCATCAAGACCGAACCCCAACCTCAGACTTTAGACAGGAATTGTTTTTTAGTCTCACAAGAGAGGTTCAGATGAAGAAGGCCCCTCAGCCAATGATCTCCTCCTCCTAGAATCTCCCATCACAACATCGACTTGTTATTTAAAATAAGTCCCAGAGTGTCCTGGCCTCAGTCACTCTATCGTGGTGAACCTGTTCCAGTTGTTAATTATGCTCTGGGCAAAGAGATGTTTCCTGGCGGCTGTCCTGGAAATTGGTCCCTTATCGAATGCTGATTTAGACACCCCCGTCCCCCNATTCTGAATGACACAGACATTTAAATGTCACTTACAATGGCACTCCAGCAGTCATCCTATTACTGAGAATACTCTTGCTGACTTGAGTTCTGATTGTTACTCGTTTCTGCTGTCAGTGGGAGAGCAGGGCATTGGAAACCCTTCTGGCAACCTGTGCCCACACCACTGCATGGCAATCTCTGGCGATTCTGTGTGTGGGCTGGGTGTCTATGATTTGTGTAACCCATGTGTAAACACATTCCGTAATGCCACTTGTGTATGAAACCATGTACAAACATACGTATTGTATGTGAGCTGTGTAAGCCATGTGCATAACTATGTCTATTATTACAAGTTGTGTAAACCATATGTAGACACGTACACTCTGTGTAAACCATGTGTAACCATGTGTACAGAGAGAATTACAGGTGCCTCCATGTAATCAACAACCAACAGAAAGGATTATGGAATCTGTTAACACAACTCACGTAAAAGGCTCCCAACGTGCGGAGTGTAAAGTTTTTTTACCTGTTTGATTGTGTTTTATACACATCCAGAATCCTGGAAGACAGAGAAGGAAATTGCTGATGAGAAGCAGATACTCTTTGAAATGCTAGACATCATTGAACGGCGAGACAGGCTGGTTGCTCTCTTGGACCAACAGAGACTGGAGGAAAAGGCCGAAGATAAGGACTTGGAAAGCTTTGTACTGGCCAAAGGGTACAAATTCAACTGGGCTCGATCAACCTGAAATTCCGCTTGGTCTCAGCCTTACAGACCATTTTGTCTGAAGGATGGAGCCGAACTGTGGAAAATCCTTAAATTAGGTCTTCACTTGGAAGTCAGCACGAAGTGCTCAGTCGCAGGTTCCGAGGAATTATTTGTCTTTACTGGCTAAGACTTGGTGGAGTTTTGGGGCTCTGACAAGTGGCACTTCACCCCCACCACACCCCCCAAAACAAAACATATGAAAAGGGCAAGTATGAGTCTGAACTGTTGGCTGAGAGTTTAATTGTGTGTGAAGCTGCTGCTCAGGGTTTCAGAAAGGGTCTGAGGATCTTTTCTGAGATATTCTCAGGGTATTAAATAAAGAGATGATTCAGGGCAGTGGTCTGTCTCGAGCAGAACGTTTGTAAGCATTTGTACCATGTGTCTGTGTTGTTGTGTCTTTTTTTTAATGACGAAGGGGGTAAACCCCAACACTGCAATTGTTGGAATCCGTTCTCAGTGAAACATTTCTCTCTGCTGCTGACTCACTAAAGCCAACGCATACAGCGCTGACTCTTTGTATCTGGGCTGCTGACTGTTAGGTAGGAATTTAACGTTTTTTTTAAAAAAAAGTATTTCAGGTTTTTATAAATGGTGGAATTTGAAAGCACAAACTGATACAAGCGCAAACTTGTATCATGCTTGGCACTCAGTGTTTAGGGCAAAGGCAGCTAATTAGAGTTGAGGTACAGATCAGCCATGATTTAATAGAATGGTGGAAACAGGCTCCAGGGGCTGAATGGCCTCCTCCTGTTCCTATGTTCCTAATTAGTGGTCATGCTAAACACTAACTAGTGATCATACCTGGCACGACCCTAAATCTTTAGCAATAGGACTTGAAGAGGGAGAGGGGAGTCCTTTCTACGTCGGAATTTAATGTATTAATCTAGGAAGCTCGACATATATTAAGTTTAATAATAAGGTTATATTGTAATGTTAGATAATCCTAAATGCAATAAATGGACATTTACGGGGTTTCTCAGTGACTTTCTATTGCTCTTTATTATGTTTTGTAACTGCTGTTTAGGGGCAGCTTGGGGCAGCTATTTGGGTAGGATTTCCACTCCTCAGAGCATTGGCACATTGTGTCCCGAGGACTATTTATCCATTTAACTCAGGACCTTTCCCTGTGTACCTCCAAGCCTGTTCTAATCCTGTTTCCAAGCAGATACTTGTCCACTTCTTCTTGACTAAAACAGTTGGTCATCAAAACATCAACTGCTTTTGTTTGGTATCTGGGTGACAAATTGACAGCTTTGTGTGTGTGTGAGTGTGTGTGAGTGTGTGAGTGAGTGAGTGAGCGGGATGGGAGGAGGGGAGAGGAGGGATAGTAGGCAAATGTGGCAGCCCAATCGTTGTGCGCAAATGACCTGCCTTGTTTGCCAACTGCTATATAGTCAGCTCACTGTGCAGTGTATCCTGTGAAGTGCTTTGAGACATCCTCCTGATGTGAAAGGTACTTTACCAAATGCAAGCATTATTATTACTGTATTAATTATTTTAACCTATTTGATTTTGAAAAGAGAATCATACATATCCCAGCACAGTGCTCTGAGAGACGTTACATCTATCTGCACCTTGCTGATTTTGAGTTTTTTAATTTTTTTTAAAAACACACCACTTAAAATCTAGAAGTTGCTGGGAACACTCAGCAGGTCAGGCAGCATCTATGGAGAACGGAAAATGAGTCAGCGTTTCGGGTCCACGGCCCCAAGGGACCCCAAGTTATTGAACTCATTTTCCTCTCTCCATAGATGCTGCCTGACCTGCTGAGTGTTCCCAGCGGCTTCTGTTTTTGTTTCAGATTTCCAGCATCTGCCAGTATTTTGTGTTTTGTCAGCATTTTAAATATGTCTGGGATTTGGTGATGTTCTCAAAATCAATCTGTGACGTTCTGCTGGTTGGTGTTTGCTGTTGTGTACTGTGTAGAATACAAATGCAGCATTGAAACAACAAGTGACTGAGTGTTATTGAGTTCCTCCCCCTGGGCCTCCCCTCAGCATGGGTGCCGAACTGGGACTGTCCAGCGCCTTGAGATGTCTTTCCAACATGAAAGGCACTATGTAAACAAAATAAATGCAGTGACTGACTTGTGAACGTATACGGTTTCATGTTTATTGAAGAGTTAGAGGCAAACACATTTTTTAAAAAAGTTTTCCCTCAATACAATACTGTTTTCATAGTATTTAGCATTCAGGATCAGCCCAGTGGGGAGGGAATAACACTCAGGAATTCTCGGTCACTGGTTGGATTTCAGTGCTGGTGTCAGGAGAGATTTACAGTGAACTTCACAGTGTGACAACTTGTCATTTCCATCAATCAATTGTAAATATACCTGGAGTTAAACTCCTGTCAGGATGTTTCCTCTGAAACTTTGACAGTTTACGCTGTGCTTCACCATTCACCATTCGAATTCAAGATCCTCATCCTCACCTACAAGGCCATTCACGGCCTCGCTCCCTCCTACCTCTCCGACCTACTCTCCCCCTACCTACCTGCCCGTACCCTCCGTTCCTCTGGCTCCGGTCTGCTCCACATCCCCCGCCCCAACCGCCCTACCATCGGTGGCCTTCAGCCCCGAGGCTCTGGAACTCTATCCCCCAGTGCCTTCGCCGCTTCCTCCCTTTCCTCCTTCAAGGCCGGTCTCAAGACCTTTCTCTTCGACCGTGCCTTCACCTCCCCTCTCGACTCTCTATCCCCTCCTCGCTCCCTCCCTTCCCTCCCCTCACCCTGACCATTTCCCCCCTGCTCGGGTCCCGATCCAACTGTCCAGCGCCTTGGGACGCCCTCCTGACGTGAAAGGCGCTCTATAACTGCAATCTTGTTGTTGTGTGAGTGCTGGTCCTTAAAAATGCTGATCTTGTTAGAGTTGCAATAAAGATATTTTGGCTTGTCTGTAATTTCCGTCTCATTCTCCTTCCTTTTACATCCACCATTGAGAGGATCTGAGGGGCAGAATCATCCACAAACTCTCCTCTCCCTTTGCTGTGTGTGGGAGCTGAATAGAACTGATAAGCAATAGGTCTTCAATGCAGCTATGCGATGCGGGCTAATAATAATAATACTTCATTTGATTTATCGCCTTTCAGATTGAGAGGACATTATATCATTTTACAGGATATACTGTAAAGTGTATTGACTTTTTTTTGTAGACAAGTTTGTAAACAGCAGTGTCCCACAAACAGCCAGTGTATACAATGTATTGTATTGACTATAACTTTCATGCTAGTTGTTTTGATTTGAAACTGCAAGTTAAACCATTTAAACTGTTTGTGTCCAGAGAGATCTGAATGAAACAAAATAACATTCCAAGGTACGATTTCCGATATTATAACAACAATGAAAATGGTCCGAGCATTATATCCCGTGCCTTATCACCACAGTGAAACGTCTCAAAGTGCTTCACAGGATAAAACTGTAACGTGTCGTGACTGTGTATTTGTGGGCTAACACTCTATATCCCCCAATCTTCTCTCCTTCTGTGCAAGTGTTGAAAGCAGCCATTCCCTCAGTAAAGCACATGAGTGAGGGCAAGAGAGGCTCAACAGGAGACTCCAGCATTCCATGGCACACATGGCAATAGACATGGCAATAGACAGCGGGAAGGAACAGGTTATCAACACAGGTGTTGCAAGGTGAGGATGCACAATATAAGAGACAGTTTAATGCTGAAATGGGAAGATGGTGATGGTAGGCATGGCATGAGAGTGGTAGACATTTACAGCACAGAAGGAGGCCATTCGGCCAATTGAGTGCGCACTGCTTCACAGAGCAAGGAGTTCATTCAATCCTTAGCCTCAAACCCCTTCAAGCCACCAGCTTTCATACACCTGTCCACTTCCCTGTTGAAGCTGCCTTGGGACGTCCTCCCGACGTGAAAGGCGCAATACAAAGGTAATGTGTTATTGTTGAAGTCCACAATGGAGCCTACATCTCCCACTGTACTTGATGGGGCATTCCACATTCCAACCAGTGAAAATAATTCTCTTAGGCTCTTCTTTCTCTCTTCCTGTGACTGGCTTATGACTATGACTAGTGGCTGACAACCCGACCATTCTGAAAGAAATGCAATTAGACAATCAAACGGGTGACAAGTTGGGTGGAGCAGGAAATACCGTCTTCTATTTGAGACAAGGTCTTGTTTTTCTCTCGTTGGCGGAGAGGAAGGAAATCATTCAAAAGAAAAACCTCAATCATTTTCAACACCCACTGCTCAAATACACTGCCACAGGTTTCACTTCAGTTACAAGGAGAAAGTTAGAATTATAGAAAATGTATTTACAGAATAGGCCACTTGGTGCCTTACTGCTGGGCTGGTTCTCCAGTTACAAGGTAAGGTGATGTTATTGGGGTTGGGGGTAAGGTGATGTTTTTGGGGTTCGGGTCCGGTGATGTTATTGGGGTTGGGGGTAAGGAGATGTTATTGGGGTTGGGGTCCGGTGATGTTATTGGGGTTGGGGTCCGGTGATGTTATTGGGGTTGGGGTAAGGTGATGTTATTGGGGTTGGGGTAAGGTGATGTTATTGGGATTGGGGTCTGGTGATGTTATTGGGGTTGGGGTCTGGTGATGTTATGGGGGTTGGGGTCCGGTGATGTTATTGGGGTTGGGGTAAGGTGATGTTATGGGGGTTGGGGTCCGGTGATGTTATTGGGGTTGGGGTCCGGTGATGTTATTGGGGTTGGGGTAAGGTGATGTTATTGGGGTTGGGGTAAGGTGATGTTATTGGGATTGGGGTCTGGTGATGTTATTGGGGTTGGGGTCTGGTGATGTTATTGGGGTTGGGGGTAAGGTGATGTTATTGGGGTTGGGGGTAAGGTGATGTTATTGGGGTTGGGGGTAAGGTGATGTTATTGGGGTTGGGGGTAAGGTGATGTTATTGGGGTTGGGGGTAAGGTAATGTTATTGGGGTTGGGGGTAAGGTGATGTTATTGGGGTTGGGGGTAAGGTAATGTTATTGGGGTTGGGGTAAGGTGATGTTATTGGGGTTGGGGGTAAGGTGATGTTATTGGGGTTGGGGGTAAGGTGATGTTATTGGGGTTGGGGGTAAGGAGATGTTATTGGGGTTGGGGTAAGGTGATGTTATTGGGGTTGGGGTAAGGTGATGTTATTGGGGGTAAGGAGATGTTATTGGGGTTGGGGTAAGGTGATGTTATTGGGGTTGGGGTAAGGTGATGTTATTGGGGTTGGGGTAAGGTGATGTTATTGGGGTTGGGGGTAAGGAGATGTTATTGGGGTTGGGGTAAGGTGATGTTATTGGGGTTGGGGTCTGGTGATGTTATTGGGGTTGGGGTAAGGTGATGTTATTGGGGTTGGGGGTAAGGTGATGTTATTGGGGTAAGGTGATGTTATTGGGGGTAAGGAGATGTTATTGGGGTTGGGGTAAGGTGATGTTATTGGGGTTGGGGTAAGGTGATGTTATTGGGGTTGGGGTAAGGTGATGTTATTGGGGTTGGGGTAAGGTGATGTTATTGGGGTTGGGGTAAGGTGATGTTATTGGGGTTGGGGTCTGGTGATGTTATTGGGGTTGGGGTAAGGTGATGTTATTGGGGGTAAGGTGATGTTATTGGGGTTGGGGGTAAGGTGATGTTATTGGGGTTGGGGTAAGGTGATGTTATTGGGGTTGGGGTAAGGAGATGTTATTGGGGTTGGGGGTAAGGTGATGTTATTGGGGTTGGGGTCTGGTGATGTTATTGGGGTTGGGGTCTGGTGATGTTATTGGGGTTGG